CCCTCATTTCTAGTCGCATGTGGTGGCCAGGAATGGAAGGGGATGTCGAGCAGTATTTAGCTGCCGGCGACTTCGTACCTAAGGCCGACCGTGCCACCGCGACGCTACCCCACGTACTGTACCTACAAAGCGGTCCAGTCTCCGTCGCTCGACCTCCGGGATCCGAGTGTACCGAGGCCACGGGCAAGGAACATCTGGTGCAGGAACTGGAAAAATACCACCACTTAAAGCCAACGGACGCGTCGGCAGTCGCCGAGTTGGTCCTTTCGGAAATGGCCGACGGACTCAGGCGACGCGACGAGCCAACCCAAGTCCAGACGCTAATTTCTTCTGAGTCAATCCCCGAGGGATTGCCTCACCCTCTGCCCACTTGGGCGGTCGAAAGAACACTACCTGCGGGAATAGCTCATGGTGTGGGGGACTTCGACGTCGAGCTAGAGCGTGTTAAGCTGGAAACAGCGGAATTTAATCGCATACGCTCTGCGCAACTGAAGGACGCCGGGTTCGGAGAGTCTAGCGATTATTATTGCATGACGATCCATACGCCCGACCCCCTCTCCATATATGAGCAGCTGGTGGAGTATCCTACCGCGTCGCGGAAGAATAAACACCGGCTCCTTGATCAGGACCTTGAGACCTGGCTCAGATGGGTGGAAAACCCGGACTTTGCCACAAACAAGTCCGCCTTCGACCTCGCGGCTCCAATAGCCGAGCGGCTGCGAAGGAATTATGTCGTATCCGGTGGGAAACTCTATCGCGTCGAACGCGATGAGCTACCACAACTCTATGTGCCACAAAACAAGCGCATCGAAATGCTGCAACAAGCGCATGATAGCTTAGGCCATCGAGGAGTGTACGCGACACAACAACTACTGTCAGTACGGTTCTATTGGCCTGGACTGAACGAAGACGCGGAGTGGTTCATACAGACATGCCACCCGTGTCAAGAACGCTTGAAAGCACTAGCGCGCATACCGCCGGTGGTAACTTTCACGCCATCTTTATTCCAGGTCGTCCACATAGACACCATGCATATGACGCCCGCATCGAGAGGCTTCAAATACATTGTCCACGCAAGGGACAGTCTCTCTAATTGGCTGGAAGGCCGCGCGCTTCGCATTGAGAACGCGGTCACTATAGCTAAATTCATACTCGAGGAAATACTCTGTCGATGGGGTTGTCCCGAGGAAATCGTGACCGATAATGCGTCCCTTATGAAGTCCGCTATGCGCTGGATTTCTAAAGAGTATGGCGTCCGCCATGTCCGCATATCGGCCTATAACTCTCAAGCCAATGGAAAAGTTGAACAAGTACATTGGGATATCCGGCAGTCGCTAGCGAAAGCCTGCGGACCGCAGCTGAACAAATGGTATAACCACCTACACTTTGTGTGGTGGGCCGACCGCGTAACCTTACGGAAGCGACTCGGAGTGTCGCCATATTTCCTTGTGACAGGAGCGCACCCGCTCCTGCCATTTGACATCGCCGAAGCGACCTGGCTCATTGACTATCCCCTGCGCACACTTACGCGCGAGGAGTTGGTTGGGTACCGGGCCCGAGCCTTAGCGAAACATCATGCGGAAGTAGGCCTTGTCCGCTCTCGAATAGAGAAGGAAAAGCTCGAGCGTCTTCACCGCTATGAACGCGAATACGGACATGTTATTAAGTTGCTCGACTTTAAACCAGGCAGCTTGGTGCTAGTCCGGAATACTCGCATAGAGAAATCACACAGTGACAAGATGCTACCGCGTTACCACGGGCCCATGGTGGTCATACGGAGGACGCTCGGAGGCTCTTATATTGTGGCTGAACTAGACGGAACCGTCTTTCAAAATAAAGTCGGAGCATTTAGAGTGTTGCCCTACCGTTCTCGGGCCTCTATAACCTTGCCCGATGAAATCCACTCATTAATCGACTTGTCTCCGGACGAGCTCGAGAAACTCATGGCCTCTGACGAGCCGGACGAGGACGAAGTCGCCCAAGTGAGTCCTGATGGGCTCGCGGACTTGGACGACGGCATCCTCAAGGAAATCGACGACGCTATGCCGGCGCAACCCCTACCTGACTTCTCGTTCCCTGATGAGCCGGAAGTCGACGCGCAGGTGCGACCGGACAGCCGAGACGATCTTGACCGTCGAGACCGTGAGGACGACGACCACCAGTCCGAGTCGGAAGGTGTTGAAGGCAGTGAGCCTCCGGGCTTCCTGGACGACGCCCCCGACGAAACCCCGGACAGGGAACCCTCCCCAACTCCCGAACCTGGCGAGCGCCGGTCCCGGAGGACCGTCAAACCTACGGAGAAGGTCCGTGCTGCAGGTGGGCAAAGGGAGATGAATAAAATGGCGAAATAAGGGCCATACACCGAAGGTGTACGCACAAGCGCTGCACCGGGTACAACTCTTCACGAGTCAGTCTGGATTGATGACCGCAATGTCCACGAGCTCTCTGAGGCTCTGATATTGCCGGTTCAGGCGATTTCAGGCTCAGACTTGGTGAAAACAAAACAAAATTCGTTGAATGGGTATGCCTCGACTACACAGTCCTAAGTACACGGCTATCTGATAGTAAACGAGTGTGGTGCCGCGTCCCGAACGCGAGACTACAGAAAATAAATAAACTAAGCTCAGCTCAGCCCACACCAGGCGGTGTAAGGGTCAGGGCGAGTGGAAAACGAACGTTGGACGTAACGAATGACTGGGTATACGCGCAAGTCAACGATCCAGACCATGCCGCCTACGCAGCGGGCAGTGTAGCGATGGCGGGGGTCTCCTCCTCCGTCTCCTTCGCGCTCGAGCGCGTGGTGGGCTTGCCGGACTTCTTCGCAGCGCGACTAGACGAGCGCGACGCCTCCTTCTTCTTGGGGGCGACGTTGTCGACCTCCATCGCCTCGGCAGCATTGCTGGCTCCCTCGGTGACCTGAGGAGCCTTGGCCTTGCCAGCCTCGGAAATGGCGTCGTCCAGCTCGGCCTCCGAGTCAGCGGCCAGAGCGTTCGTCAACGCCGCCTCGGCGCGTGCAGCGGTCGCCGGAGAAGCATCGCGCTTCGCGCGCGCCTCATCGTCGACCTTCTGCACCGTCTCCGAGCCTGTAGAACGGCTCGTGCGACGCGAGCCCGGCACGCCTTCGTTGTCCGACTATAAGCTCGAATGAGTACCATTACAAACACACCGATTCAGACCACGTACCGCGTCGAACTTGCTGAAGACCTCGCGCGCCGTTGCGCGGCGGTACACCTTCGAAAGAGTGCGGCGCGTGCCGTCCATCGCGGTGTGTGCAGCGCACAGCGCGCCAAGGTTCAAGGCGGACGCGTTCAGGACCGCCGTGACCTGCGCCAGGCTATGGACGACCACGCCTAGATCGAACTCACCGTCCCCGTACGACTGGCGTCCGAGGGTGTTCGCGCGATCGAAGATCGCACTTGCACCTTCACCAAGCGCCGTGGCAATCGGGTTCGCTCCGTACATGCCCTCGACCATAAGGCCTTGGGTGCCGTACTGAGAGAAGCCGGACGCCGAGGCGTCCCAGACGTACATCTGAGATGGAACTTGGGTTAGCCCCACACAACGAAAAAGCGACAGAGATGGACGCACCTTAGCAGGACGGTCGCCCTCCGTAGGTGATCCGGAGCGCTTCAAAGATCCAGACTCCGCCGCGACAGCAAGACTGTCCGCGATGGGGGCCGATGGCTCAGAAGCGTCGGGAGCGGAGGGACCGGCCGCCGCGCCCTTGCGGTTGCGACGAGCCTTCCCCTTGCCCTTCGACGACTCCGCCACGGCAGGAGCGTCGGCGTCGTGCATGACGACGTCGTCCGCGTCCTTGGAGGCAGTCTCCTCGGCCTTAAGCTGGGAAAAACAATAAATCAGTCTAGTTAGACGAAAAACAACGTCCGACGACGCACCTTCGAGACGATCTCCTGCAGAGATCGCTTCGTGGCCGACAGGCCGCGGTAGAAGTCGTCCGCAGACTCCCCGGGTGCCAGACTGTCCGTCGCTGTGTAGCAGACGGTCAGGCAGTGGGCCATGATCGGCCGCTTGTCATGGACCTGCTTGAAGTCCATGATGACCTGCAACGCTCAGTGTGAGATGGGAGGCGATCAGCGACGATCCGAACACGCACCATGACCCCATCGAGCGCGGCAACCAACTTCTCCTTGTTGCCCTCATAATGCTCGACAACCTTGGCGTCGAGCGCGCGCAGCTCCTCCACGTGTGTCTTGAGATACTTGACGATCTTCCTGGCGGCGGGAAGGTCGCAGTGCGCGACCTCGCGGAGCGCGGTCTTGAGCACCGCCGAAGCTGAAGGCAGAAGCGCAAGAAACTGATCAAAGAGATCGCGCTGGTACTTGTTGGCCATTGAGGGAGATGAAGGAACGAATCGTTGTAGTGGGTTGGACTCATCCGTCCAGCGCGCTCCGATCTTATATCACGACCGCTCGGCCGGTCAGGGACGCGATATCCGCGCCCTCTGCCGCAATTTCATAAATTTCTACCTGCTCCTGAACTCCACACCGGCGAGGTCGCCGACATTTTTGGTGTGGGGGAGATAGGCTGCCGATCCAGCTCGTTCCACGACGGAGATTTTTGCGCCGCTATCGCGAACAAGCACGACTCGTTAAGTCGAACCACAACCGGCAGTGGCCGACGGTCACGTGCAAACCACGCGAGCACGCCGCCGAGCAGCATTCAACTGGCCGACCTCTAAGGCGGTCGCACAGCACAATTTATCGCTTCTTAGGTCACTTGGCATCGCGCTAAATCATCCAAGAAATCAAGAAGTACAATTAAAACCCGGAGTCCGTACAACAAGAAGTACAAGAAAAACCTAATGTACAGAGACCCAAGAAACAACATATCTAAGCGCGTGTCGCGCGCATTGTCCTCGTTAATCCAGAACTACCTACCACGTTCCCTCCTCGAAGGAAGCTGCTAGGATGGTGCGGGTCAGCGAGGATAGACAAAAACGGCAAAAAGAACTCAAAACGGGACTTACCTCGGCCGAGCTCTCAGAGCAACTCCGCTGGACGATCGCCCGAGGGTCCCTCCCTCATCCACTCCGGCGTCGGGAAGCGCGAAGGCGCTGCGGGCTTGGGAGAGGGAAGAGCAGGGGGCTCGGCGTCGTCGTCCTCAAGCTCCTCTTCCTCCTCCTCGGCGCCCGGGTGCCCCGCGTTGCCGTCCTCTTTGTCCTCGGCGTCTGGGAGGTGGGTCCAGCCAGGCTGAAGCCCCGAGCTACCCGCCACCGGCCACTCAGGCGCGTCGTCGTCACCCAACCCCGCGAGCATGCGCTGCTCGTTGTGGGCGCGGATCTCCTCCTTGATGCGGAGCATCTGCTCCTCCTCGTCAGCAAGGCGCTCCTGCTCCTCGGCCTGCTCCTCGAGCATCTGCGCATCGTCCTCTGTCTCGACGTAAGGCAAGAGCTCGCCGTCCGCATCGCGCGGACGACGGTCCCAGTCCACGCGGAAACGCACGGGCGGTACGACATCGCGCTCCTCGGACTCGGGCTGAGAGCGCTCCTCCTCCTCCTCCTCTTCGACGTCCGAGGGCGTAGCGACCTTCTTGCCGCGCCGACCGCGCGCCGAGCTCGGGCCCGCCTTCGCCCTCCCCTTGCCCTTTGAGGTGGAGGCGGCGGCCTTCGTCTGGGAACGTGTGCGCTTGCGCGCGGGCTCCGGCTCTTCGACTTCGGCCTCGTCGGAATCGGAATCGGTGGCAACCTTCCTCTGTTGAAGCGTTAGCTATAGAACCACCAATATAATCAAATAAAATGGGAGCGCACCTTAGCGGCGCGCTTGCGCTTCGTCACGCCCTTGTTCTTGTCGTTCCGGTGCGCCTTTTGCCCTGGATGGCTCCTTTGGGCTGGTGTTGCGGGCGCGCACCCACTCAGCTTGACCTCACCGAGGCCGCACCGCTTCGCCTCGACCGCGACGTAGTCGGCGGGCAGCTGCGGCTGCTGCAAGAGCAGCACGTCCTGCGGGCGCTTAGTCAAGCTGTGAATTCCTAAAGAACGCCGAGGACTTACCAAGTCCTCGTTCGCCCTTCGCGGCACCCGATCGCGGTCAGCGGCGCGCAGTGTCGCGTCGTGCGTCGGGATATCAAGCCCCACGACGTTGATCACATACCTAGATTGTGAAAATGTCAGTAGGCTTCACTCAACTATGTCCGAGACCTACCGAGGGCGCGCGATTTCCTGCAACGCGTACCACTTCGACTCGGGGTCCGATGCCTTGAGGCAGTCGAACAAGAAAAACATTGCCCCTTGGATCGCCGCGGTCGGCGCCCAGGGGCCAGTCTCTCTCATTTTGCGCGCCTGCGCGATGGCGTCGGACAAAGAGATCTACAAACGAGCGTTAGCTAGCGCCGAAAACGATCCGCACGATGGGGCTTACCAGCTTCTTCTTGAGGATCGTCGCGCGCGTCTTATCGCGCTGGATCCCCCGCACCAAGTTCAGCACTGTGGGCTCCTGGCCCTTGAGTAGCGCGCGCGCATCCTTCTCGATCTGATAGAGCTTCCGGGCGAAAGCTTGGTGCTCCTTGCGCACCGTCGCGTGTGGGCCTTCGTTGCCGGCGGCCATCTCTAGATCGTCGTCAGTAGGGGCGGCGCGTCAGGACGCGCGTACTAGCGACGTACCGTCGTGGTTCAAGACAAGTTGGAAAACCGTGGGAGATGCGCACGGCCGGCTTTTAAACGACCATGCATGTCCGGAACATGCGGCGTGAGCCAAAAGCTTAATTAGCGCCCTGCCGCCCTCCGACAACTACCTACCAAGAGACTGCGGCAGCAGTCGACTGCGAGTCGCCCGACGACCCAGTAACAACACCGAGTCACCCATCCACCTTAACTGACCGAGGACGGTCCAGATTATTGGTGTGGGGGAGATGATACGCCCTGCGGCTGAAAAACGCGGAAAAACATACATAAACAAGCGATATATAGTCGACTTGGTCTAGATTGTATGGGCGGATCCGTATATACTGCACCGACGTCGCGACTGTACAACGGGCGCGTCGGGGGTATTTTATGACATAGAAAACCAGGAGCGCCACGCTTCCTAACCTTCAATACTACTAGTCCGCAGCATTATCCGTCTGCAATGACTGACCAAGGATAGCAGCGAGCTCTTCGGCGCCTGATCACGAGTCTGCGCGTCGTCGATGACATCCTGCGAGTCCTTTGGCGGGCCCTACTTAATCAAGTAGCCGCGCTATACGCGCCTCAAGCCTTCAGTCCTCTTGCCCTGCTGTGTCAAGAGAATCTAGATTATTGTTGGGGCTCGGACAAGCCTTCCTGCTGCTCGCCGTCATGCGGAGACACGCAGAGCACCGCGCAAGCGGAACTCGAACCAACAACGTGACTACACGTGACTTCGGGTCCGAGACCGGAACTTCGGGTCCGAGCTCGTGATCTCGGACATCGCCGAGTTGAACTCCGAACCGAGCGTCGGCGCCGCCAAGCGCTGTCCGCCCCGGCAAGGGCTTCACTCCCCGCGTATCGACAGTCTAGGCTGTACGCTCCCCGCCGCGCAGGCCTCTGAGCCGCGTCGCGCACAAGGGAACGGGTGGAAACCAGGCCGGCCTTGCCTTGGTAAACATCAACAAGTGTGGAATCGCGCCCGGCATCGCGGCGCAGGAGGATACCCGACCAGTCAACCGCTCTACCGCCAGGAACCGCAGTCATTGCGCGATTATTCGGACAGGAGAACGCGTGGATAGGCGTTATAGTTGGATTTTGACTCAGAGATAGGCATTGTGTGTTACCGCGCGGTCTGGACGGCCGAGACGACGCGTTCAAGTTATATACCGAGACCTACATACGATTCGGGGACTTTTCCCGCCCCGCGCAGAGAAGCCCTAGTACCTACACACCACACCAAATAAACACAACCGCGTTAACCCGCACTTTACACATCATAAAAAGCCTGAACTTCCGAGCGCCTTAACCCGCCTTGTGAACTTCAATCAAACCCGAAAGCGCTCGTCAGAACGCCGAGACGTCCGATTGCCCCACTCGACTTCTCGCTTCAGTCCAGCTCGTCTGGAACTGGCATAAACAACACAATCTATCCCCAAGTAATATAAATACTCGGACTCGCCCGCTCTCGTAGCGCCTCCAGTCTAGCGTGTTCATTGCTATCGTGGTTGTTGGTGTTTGGTTGTGTGGATCGTCTAGCTAGACTGTACTTCGCGTCTTTCGTGAGCGTACGATCCCATCAACGCGACGGTCCTAACCCTCGCGCGCGACGACGCAATGACGTCAGGCTCTCGATCGCGTCAACACTACAGGGTACTGCTTGGGTAGGGCACTTAGCATATAAAGATTTGTCCGATTAGTATGCTAAGAGCCTAAGACTTCTAACGCTTAAACGCTTATTTTCTGCAGCTATTTTCTGGCCTCAAATTACATTCCCCTGTGCTCTATATACTATATATGGGTATATACTATACATAGGAATGGTTTACACATACCAGGGACAGGCAACAGCTATTTAGCCGGCCTGCTAAATAGCCAGCTGCTTAAATAGTCAGCTGCTTAAAATCTTATAGCTTATAAAGCTTGCCTAGCATGATTCCTGTGCCAGTAGTATCTAAACCAGATATAGGCTGCCACCTATATATGCTGCTGCTTAAATAAGCCACCTGCTAAATAAGCTCCGGCGGCTAAATAAGCTCCGGCGGCTAATAAGCGTCGGAGCCTAAATAGGCGTCAGACGACTAATAGGCGTCGGAGACTAAATAAGCGTCGGAGACTAAATAAGCATCACAGCTTAATATGTGTTGGAGTTTAAGTGTTGGACAACTCATAAGTGTCAGACAGCTAAATAAGCATCTGCAGCTCATCAGCTGTTCCCTCTCTTAAGGCAAAGGTAATGTGAGCCCAGAACAGTAAATATAACTTGATGCATTGGGTGAGCAGTCAAACTGCCACCTCAACACACTATCCAGTCTAAGCATGAGTCCAGGATGTAGGTATAGTGCAGGTAAAACAATGGTCCTGGAATAATTGCCTTTTTGGGATTTGCGAATGACGCAGTGTCCGCAAATCCCAAAAAGGAAGGAGGATTCATGCACCTTTAGCTGTGCCGGCTATTATAATGTCATTAAGAAGACACTTATATGTGTACTTTAAGAACAGGCAGGTATACGTTACAAACATGCTGATAGTTTGTTGAGGTTTTCAGCCTCGTGGGCTGGTCCTGCTCATAGGGCAGGGGTTGCTGGCTCAGGCTTGACTGGGATGAGGGCGCGGTGTGGCTCAGAAATGTGCAGGCGTGGCCTGCAGCGCCTCGTCCCCTTGCGCATCTGGCCTCTTACCCAACACATGTCCGTCGCACTGTGCATGAGATGATGTTGCATCACCATTGTCATTGTCGTGATGTACCGCGCTCGCCGCCGCACACGGCACTGGCGACACTGTGATGGTGTGCTCAAAGAGTGAAAGAAAGAATGTATATGTAAGCTATATATACTATACAACACGTAATAAAACACTTTTCCCATTAGAAGGAGGGAGGGGAAAGGAGGGGGAAGGGGGAAGGGCACACGCAGGTGGCAATATTTTCTGGCCAATCGCAGATGGCAGCCTTGCAAGGGGGGTGATATCCAAGTGCAATCGCGGCATGTGCGTTCCGTGTATGTGTGCGACCTCTTCTCCCCAAAATAGGGGAAGAAGCGTGCTACACGCTCCCACTCAGTGCCGTGATCGGGCATGCTTGGCAAACTAAGCACACCGTCAATCACCGTGCTTTAGCGAGCATGTATGATGTAGCACGCACACCCTGCAGAGCAAAATGATGTGACATGTGTGCATCACGTAGGCAGGAGGAAGGCGGGGGGAGTGGGGAGGCCTGTTGGTGGCTTGGTCTGGGCAGCATGACATGTTTTGGGCCGTGACAGCAGCACATCTGCTGCTTTTTGTGGGCAAAGCAGAGGGTATCAAACAAGAGGGAGAGGGGGGAGGGGGAGATGGGTATGGTGACAGCAAGGGTGAGGGGGTGACAAGCAAGGCATTGTGTTGACGATCAATTTTTGTTTGTTCGTGTTGTTATATTGATCACACGTGCGTCCGCGAAGGCATGCGTTGGCGGAGGCTACAAGGGAGGACTGTCCATGTCTCACTGCGGCGGAGGTGGCAGTGGCCAATCCCCCCTTCGTATTTCCAAACAACACATGTCTTTAGGGACTTGTCCTTGACAAAGAATACATACAAAATACAATAGATTAGTGAGATGTGCTGGTGGGGGGCATAGCAGACACACCTGAGAGCCCTCTAAGCCCCTGCACCACTCCAGCTGGGTGAGGATGATGTGGCTCAGTCAGCACGAGGGTGTGATGCTGGTCGAGCGCAAGGGGCGGCGCGAGGGACATCACATCACACTTGCACCGCATCACAGAGCATCCGTAAGCAAGGGAGGATAATCATTTGTTATTGTGGGAGTTCCGCGTGAGAAGAATCAATGTTTCATAAAGACTATACCTGAAAGTTGCAAGATTGAGGCTGAGATAGGTGCTCAGAGAGTGGGAATATACCCAGACTATTCAAGGTCATCTAGTGGGTTTCATACAGTATATATTCTCATTTACTATGTTATAAACCTCCAAAGTTACACAACATGATAGTACAGGTATATGCTCAGTGCTTACACTGAGCGTGTTGCGACATATTGTATGTATATATGTATATATATAACATCATTTTCTACATTTTTATGGCCTATGATTGACCCCCCCTGACGTGTGCGCTGTGTGCAGCAGCAAGTGCCGCGATGTTGACAACAACAACAGCGATCATCGGCAAGAGCACGTGGTGCGGCAAGCAGGCTCGACAAGCCATTGCATGGCCACAAGCGAACAGTGGTGGGTGAGCGCGCTTGCGCTGATTGCTCATCCGCACCTTGTGTGTCACAGAGAGGATCCCTCTGAGCCAGGCTGGCCCGCGCAGCCTAGGAGGCCAGTAATCTACCAGTGAATTCCACCAGAAATCTCTTATCTGTATTGCAAAGACTACACGCAGGCATGCAAGGGCGCGAGGCAAGCGACCTGCCCCACATACTCGTGAGCCAATCCCAGCCACCCACTCAGACAGCTTGGTGGCCTGCCTGATGAGCCGGACCAGTCCACGAGGCTGAAAACCTCAACAAACCATCAGCATGTTTTGTAACGTAGCCCTGCCTGTTCTTAAAGTACACATATAAGTGTCTTCTTAATAATATTATAATAGCTGGCACAGCTAAAGGTGCATGAACCCTCCTTCCTTTTTGGGATTTGCGGACACTGCATCGTCCGCAAATCCCAAAAAGGCAATTATTCCAGGACCATTGTTTTACCTGCACTATACCTACATCCTGGACTCATGCTTAGACTGGATAGTGTGTTGAGGTGGCAGTTTGACTGCTCACCCAATGCATCAAGTTATATTTACTGTTCTGGGCTCACATTACCTTTGCCTTAAGAGAGGGAACAGCTGATGAGCTGCAGATGCTTATTTAGCTGTCTGACACTTATGAGTTGTCCAACACTTAAACTCCAACACATATTAAGCTGTGATGCTTATTTAGTCTCCGACGCCTATTAGTCGTCTGACGCCTATTTAGGCTCCGACGCTTATTAGCCGCCGGAGCTTATTTAGCCGCCGGAGCTTATTTAGCAGGTGGCTTATTTAAGCAGCAGCATATATAGGTGGCAGCCTATATCTGGTTTAGATACTACTGGCACAGGAATCATGCTAGGCAAGCTTTATAAGCTATAAGATTTTAAGCAGCTGACTATTTAAGCAGCTGGCTATTTAGCAGGCCGGCTAAATAGCTGTTGCCTGTCCCTGGTATGTGTAAACCATTCCTATGTATAGTATATACCCATATATAGTATATAGAGCACAGGGGAATGTAATTTGAGGCCAGAAAATAGCTGCAGAAAATAAGCGTTTAAGCGTTAGAAGTCTTAGGCTCTTAGCATACTAATCGGACAAATCTTTATATGCTAAGTGCCCTACCCAAGCAGTACCCTGTAGTGGCGTCAACCGGACAACCGCGACGCGTCAATCTCCCCCGGCAGACGCATGTCCCGCCGTCATGACGCGCGACGGTCGATCGGGTGTGGCTTGCTTGCGGACGAGGGCGTCCTATGTCGGTCGGCCCTATAGCGACACGGTGAGGTGCGCACTGCTACAAGTCGGACGCGTCTCGCTGCTTGTAGACCTGGGACGCGTCTTGCTGCCGTCAAACCTCTTGCTACGATCAGCCGTCTTACTACGAGTGCACATGTCTCCCTTCGCCCTCTTGCCATGTCTGACGCATTCGACGCCGCGTCCCTACCTCGACTCTGCCCGCTCTCCATTCACGTCGCGCGCTCTTCATTTGCGTCACGCGCTCCTCATTCACGTCGTACTTCCAGCTATACTCCCCAAGCCCGATCTCATCTTCTCTCCCCCCACACACTCCATCTGCTATTGCCGCCTCCCACTCACTCCTACCTTCCGCTCACTTCTGCCTTCCACTCACCTCTGCCTTCGCCCTTCCTTCGCGTCTCGCACATCCTCGCTTACCGTCCGTATGCTGTCCACGTACCCCCACACCCGTACACCTGCCACACGCCCGTACACCTGCCATACACCCCTGCACTGTCTACACACCCATATGCTTTCCCCACACCCGCATGCTTTCCCCACCCCCACACTGTCTACACAGCCGTATACTTTCCCCACACCCGTATACCTGCCATACACTCGTATACCTGCCACACATCCGTACACCGTCTACTCACCCGCATACTCATCCCTCCCACATACCCGTACACCTCACATCTCCCGCAGTATCAATTGATCTTCTCGTTTCATGCCTTTGTCCTCTCCCTCAGCGCCGCCTCTCCTTCACTCGCTCTCGTCTCCCCTTCCCTCGCTCTCGTCTCTCCTTCCCTCGCTCTCGTCTCCCCTTCCCTCGCTCTCGTCTTCGCTCCCCTCTTCCCATTCTTCCACACTCCGTCATCGCCTTCTGCCGCGCTCTCCCCCCCTCCCTCTTTCATTCAATCCCCTTTCCAGTCCTGTTCTCACTCCCCTCCCCGCGCCTTCCTTCCATCCCCTCCCCCTCCCCCTCCCACTCTCATTCTTCCCCTCCCCCTCCCACTCCCTCCTGTTCCCTCCCCCTCCTGTTCTCACCCTTCCATCCCCATCCTTTCTTTTCCCTTCCACTCCCATCCTTTCTCTTTCCTTCCATCCCCTCCCCGCACCCGCTCTCGTCGCGGCGGGCGGGATCGCTTCGGGCTGGTGGGGGTGGGTGGGATCGCTTCGGGCTGGTGGGGGTGGGTGGGATTGCTCCAGCGTCGAGGGGTGGGCGGGATCGCTTCGGGCTGGTGGGGGTGGGTGGGAGTGCTTCGGGCTGGTGGGGGTGGGTGGGCGGGAGTGCTCCAGCGTCGAGGGGTGGGCAGGATCGCTTCGGGCTGGTGGGCGGGATCGCTTCGGGCTGGTGGCGAGGAGCGCGAGCCAAGGCGCGCGTTGCGAGGAGTGCGAGCCAGGGGGCACGCGTCGGGGGGTGCGGCGTGAGGAGTGCGAGCAGGGTTCGCGCGTCCCGAAGAGCTCGAGCCAAGGCGCGCGTCCGAGCGTGTCCCGAGGGAGGAGTGCGTCGCGAGTAGGGCGCGAGTCGGGGTGCGAGCCGAGGGAGGAGTGCGGCGCGCGAAGTGTGAGCTAGGGCGTGCGGCGTGAGGAGTGCGAGCCAGGGTTCGCGTCGCGAGGAGCGAGGAATGCGCGTCGTGAGGAGCGCGTCCTACTCTACGGCGGCGCAGGCGTGCGTCCCGAGAAGTGCGAGCAGGGCGCGCGAGCCAGGGGGCACGCGTCGGGGGGTGCGGCGTGAGGAGTGCGTCGTGAGGAGTGCGAGCAGGGCGCGAGTCGGGGCGTGCGGCGCGCGAGCCCGGGGTGCGAGCCGGGGGACGCGTCGTGAGGAGCGCGAGCTCGTGGTGGGGGGCGCGAGGAGCGCGAGCCAAGGCGTGCGTCGGGGGCGAGTCGGGATGCGCGTCCGAGCGCGAGCTCGTGGCGGGGGCGACGAGCCAGGGGCGCGAGCCGGGGTGCGAGAAGCGCATCCCAAGGAGTGCGAGCCGAGGCGCGCGTCGGGATGCGCGTCGCTCGGAGCGCGAAGCAGGGGCGCGAGTCGGGGGCGCGAAGCAGGGCGTGCGTCGTGAGGAGCGCGAGCCTGGGCTCGCGAGGAGCGCATGACGAGGCGTGCGAGGAGCGCGCGTCGGGGGCGCGTGTCGGGGCGTGCATCGTGAGGAGCGCGAGCCAGGACGTGCGGCGCGAGGAGCGCGAGCCGGGGCACGCGTCAAGGAATGCGCGCGAGTAGGGCGTGCGGCGCGAGGAGCGCGTCGCGAGGAGCAAAGGAGCGCGAGGGCGCGAGCCGCGCGTCGCGAGCTCGTGGCGTGCGTCGCGACGAGCGCGAGCTGAGGAGCGCGAGTCGGGGCACGCATCGCGCGAGGGCGCGAGCCAGGGCGCGCGTGGTGAGGAGCGCGAGTAGGGCGTGCGAGCCAAGGCGCGCGTTGCGCGTCGTGAGGAGCAAAGGAGTGCGAGTAGGGCGCGCGAGTCGTGAGGAGTGCGAGCCGTGCGCGTTCGAAGAGCAAAGGAGCGCGGGCCCGGGGGCACGCGTCGCAAAGAGTGTGAGCCGGGCGCGAGCCGGGGTGCGGCGCGAGGAGGGTGCGCGAGTCAGGGGCGCGAGTCGGGATGCGCGTCGCGAGGAGCGCGAGTCAGGGGCGCGTCGCGAGGAGCGCGAGGAGCGAGGAATGCGCGCGAGCCGCGTCGCGAGGAGTGCGAGTAGGGCGTGTGAGGAGGGCGTGCGAATAGGGCGCGAGGAGCGTCGTGAGGAGCGCATGACGAGGCGTGCGAGCCGTGCGCGTCCCGAGGAGCGCGAGCCAAGGCGTGCGAGCCGAGGGCGTGCGAGGACCGCATCGCGCGAGCCCGAGGAGTGCGTGACGAGGAGCGCGTCGCGAGGAGCGCGAGGAGCGCGAGCCGAGAGCGCGCGCGTCGGGGCTCGGCGCAAGGAGTGCGAGCCGGGCGCGATCCAGGGCGTGCGAGCCGAGGCGCGTCGGGGGCGCGTCGTGAGGAGTGCGAGCCGTGGCGGGCGTCGCGCGTCGCGAGGGGTGCGAGCCGGCGCTCGCATCGTGAGGAGTGAGGAGCAGAGGAGCGCGAGCAGGGCGCGTCGTGAGGAGCGCGAGCCGGGGCGTGAGGAGTGCGAGGAGCAGAGGAGCGCGAGCCGGGGGCGCGTTCGAGGAGCGCGAGCCAAGGCGTGCGAACCGGGGTGCGCATCGTGAGGAGCGCGAGCCGTGCGCGTCCCGAGGAGCGCAAGCCAAGGCGTGCGTCGTGAGGAGCGCGAGCCAAGGCGTGCGAGCAGGGCGCGTCGTTAGGAGCGCGCCGCTCGGAGTAAGCCAAGGGAGCGCGAGGAGTGGGGAGGGACGGAGTGGGAAGGAAGGGCGAGCCGTGCGCGTCGTGAGGAGCAGAGGAGCGCGAGCCGGGGGCACGCGTCGTGAGGAGTGCGAGCCAGGGCGCGAGTCGCGAGCCGGGGGCGCGTGCGTCGTGAGAAGCGCGAGCTCGTGGCGGGGTTCGCGAGCCCGAGGAGTAAGCCGAGGGAGCGCGTCGTGAAGAGCGCGAGCCGGGACGTGCGGCGCGAGGTGCGCGAGCTCGTGGCGTGCGTCGTGAGGCGTGCGAGCCGAGGGGGCGAGAAGTGCGCGTGAGGAGCGCGAGCCGGGGGCGCGAGCGCGTGACGAGGGGCGCGGGCCGGGGGCGCGGCGCGAGGAGCGCGAGTAGGGCGCGTGCGAGCCGGGCGCGCATCGCGCGGAGTGCGCGCGAGCTCGTGGCGTGAGGAGTGAAGGAGTGCGAGCCGGGGCGCGCGAGTCAGGGCGTGCGGCGCGTGTCGCGCGTCGCGTCGCGAGGAGCGCATCGCGCGTCCCGAGGAGGGAGCGCGAGCCTCAATGCGCGTCGTGAGCCAGAGCGTGCGGCGCGAGGCGTGCGAGCCGAGGGCGTCGTGAGGAGTGCGAGCAGGGGCGCGAGCCAAGGCGTGCGTCGTGAGGTGCGCGAGTTGGGGCGTGCGCCGCCGTGCGCGTCCCGACGAGCGCGAGGAGTGCGAGCCGGGGCGCGAGACAGGGCGCGAGCCGGGGCGCACGTGACGAGGAGCGCGAGCCAGGGGCGTGCGAGTCGGAGCACGCGTCGCTCGGAGTAAGCCGAGGGAGGAGCGCGAGTCGGGGCGTGCGGCGCGAGGGGTGCGAGCCAGGGCGCAGTGCGTCGTGAGGAGCGCGAGCCGGGGCGCGCGAGCCAGGGCGCGAGTCGGGGGCGTGCGGCGCTGGGAGAAGGGAAGGAGCGCGAGCCAAGGCGCACGCTGCGCGTCGGGAGGGGCGCGAGGAGTGGGAAGGGAAGGAAGGGAAGGAAGGGAAGGAAGGGAAGGAAGGGAAGGAAGGGTGGCAACAGCAGAAGGGCTGAGTGAGGGAGAGCACGGGAGGAGGGGAGAAGACGAGACCGAGGAAGAGGACGAAGACGAGACCGGGGGAGGAGACCAAGACGGCCCTGAGAGTATGGATCAAGGCATGAAACGAAAAGCTCAAATGATATTGCGGGAGATGTGAGGTGTACGGGTATGTGGGAGGGATGAGTAGACGGTGTATGGGTGTATGGCAGGTGTACGGGTGTGGGGGTACGTGGACAGTATACGGGCGGTAAGCGAGGATGTATGAGAGGCGACTCGGAAGGAAGGGCGGAAAGCACGAGGGAGCGGGAGGCGGCGATAGCATATCGGATGGGGGAATGGGGGCGAGGATGAGAGCGAGCATGGAGGGTATAGCTGGAAACACGACGTGAATGGGGGGTGGGCGACATCATGAGGAGCGCGCGACGCGAATGAAGAGCGCGCGACGTGACTAGAGAGCGGGAAGAGTCAAGGTGGGAACGTACGTTGACCGCACGGCCGGCATCGAATGCGGCAGACATGGCAAGAGGGCGAAGGGAGACATGCCCACTCGTAGTAAGACGGCCGATCGTAGGAAGAGGCTTGATCGTAGCAAGACGCGTCTCAGCTGTACTAACAGCGAGACGCGACCCAGGTCTACAAGCAGCGACACGCGTCACACTCGTAGCAGTACGCGCCCCCACCGTGTCCATAGAGGCCGCACCGACGGCAGGACGCCCAAGCCACACCCGATCGACCGTCGCGTCATGACGGCGGGTCACGCGTCTGGCGTGGGAGACTTGGACGCGTCGCGTTGGTCCACGATTGAGAGCCTGACGTCATCGCGTCGTCGAGACCATCGCGTCCACTCTGCTTCCACCGTGCGTGGGTGCGCGTGCGAGGCCGTCTACGGCTTTCTGCTCGTCAGGACGCCTACTCGTCCGCAAAGGGCCTCTACTTATCCGCTAACGGTCTCTGCTCGTCCGCTCACTACCCTTACTCGCCCGCCAAAGCTCACCGTACTCCCCTGCTCCCAATCACCCGCGCACTTGGTCTGATGCCCTCGGCCCTTCGCGGCCTCCTTTTACTCATGGCTCCGTCTCATCGCGCGTCGCGGGGCCTCTCCGCGCTCCCCCTTTATCTCCTCCCTCTACCTCCCCTTCCTCTTCCTCCCCTCCCTTCGCCTTCTCCCCCTCGTCCCTCACCCTTCCCCCTCCTCTGCTCTTTCCATCTTACCGGACTGCCTGCCTCCCCTCCACCGCGTTGTGGGCATCCACACGGGCGTGTCGACTGCATCTACACCGGGCGCCTCATTTGCGTCCACACCGGACCGCCTCATTTGCGTCCACACCGGATCGCCTCATTTGCGTCCACACCGGACGTGCCGACTGCATCCACTCGGGATCGCCCGCTTCCCCTCAGCAGCGTCCCCTGCGCACCTCCTCTCCCCGCGCGTCTGCGCAGTCCCTCTCATCGCCTCGAGCGCATTCCCTCTCACCGCGCGTCGAGCGCGTTCCCTACCGGACGCGTCGCGTTGCTTCATCCCCGAGACGTGCGGCCCTCCCCGCACCTTCTCTTTGCGACGCGCGTCCTGGCTCGCGCACCCGGCTAGCGCTCCGAGCGATGCGCCCCGGCTAGCGCTCCAGGCGACGCGCCCCCCGGCTCGCTCCCCGGTTCGCGCTCGCCCTCCTTGACTCGCACTCCTCACAACGCGCGCCCCCCGGCTCGCGCTCCTTGCGACGCGTACCCGTCCTGCCCACTCCTCCATCTCCCCTATCCCCTCTCCCCCTTCCTTCTCCCCTCCCCCTCCCCCCTTCCCCTTCCTTCCTTCCACGCCCTCCTTCCACGCCCTCCTTCCCCTCCCTCTCCCCCTTCCTCCCCCTTCCCTTTCCCTTCCACGGCAGCCCCACGCCGTCCCTCCTCGCCCTCCTCCCCTCCCCGCACCTTCTCTTTGCGACGCGCCCTCGACTCGCGCCATCGGCTCGCGCGACGGCTCGCGCTCCTCGCGGCGCCTGTGATGTGTGGGAGGCGGGAGAGAGGAGCGACGCGCACCCGGCGCATTCCTCGCGACGCGCTCTCGGCTCGCCCTCCTCGCCTCGCTCGCCCGGCTCGTGCGTCCTGGCTCGCGCTCCTTGCGAAGCGCGCCCCAGGCTCGCGCTCCGAGCAACGCGCGCCTTGGCTCGCACTCCTCACGACGCGCTCCTCGCGACGCGCTCTGGCTCGCGCCCCTCGAGCTCGCACGTACCTCACGACGCGCATCCCGGCGCACGCCCTCGGGACGCAAGCTCTCCGTGCTCGCGCTCCGAGCGCCGCGCGCTCTTCACGACGCGAGGCGGGGAAGAACAAGCGAGGAGGGATGCGCGTTAGCGAGGGATGCGACGTGGGGGAGGAGGGATGCGGCGTGTGGGAGGAGCAAGCGAGGCGGGGAAGAACAAGCGAGGAGGAAGCAAGCGAGTGAGGCGGAGAGAGATGAAGAGGGGAGGGAGATGCCGAGGCGGTAAGGGGGAGGAGGGATGCGACGTGTGGGAGGGGAGGAGGGGAGGGGGGGAGTGAAGGGGAGTGAAGGGGAGGAGGGAGTGGACGACGGGGTGGGGCAGGTAGGGCGAGGGGGAAGCGACGCGGGGATGACGAGGGGAGGGGTGCCGAGGCGATGACGGGGAGGAAGCAAACGAGGAAGATAACGAGGCGATGCGACGTGTGACGTGGGGGAAGCAAGCGAGCCTGAGGGAGGAGGGGATGGGTATGGGGGAGGGGGTGAGCGACGCCGACACGTTAGCGAGGGATGCGACGCGTGAATGCGCTCGAGGCCGGAATCGGGAAGGAGTAAGCGAGGAGGGATGCCGAGGCGATGACGGGGAGGAAGGGATGAACAAGCGAGGAGGGATGTGGGAGGGAGGTGAGGAGCGCGGTAAGGGAGGAGCGAATGATGCGACGCGAGGCGGTGAGGGGGAGGAGCGAGCGAGGAGGGATGCCGAGGCGGTAAGGGGAGGGAGGGAGGAGAGAGCAGCAGTGGGAAGGAGGAGAGAGATGAAGAGGGGAGGGAGGGCGGTGTAGGGGAGAGGAAGAGGAGGAGGGGGAGGGAGGATGAGTGTGGGGGAGTGGACGACGATGGAGGGGCGAGGGTAGGAAGCGCGCATGACGTGCGTGAAGATAGGGAGGGGAGAAGCAGAGGTGGGAAGAAGCGAGCAATGCCGGGGGGCGATCGGCGCTCCTCCCCCCCTGATTTCGACGCACCTCCTCCCCCCCTCGATATCGACGAGCAGCGTGCGCGCGGCTCGGGGAGGGGTGGAGGGGGGAGGAAGAGATGGGGGGAAGGAAGGAGTGTGGGGAAGGAAGGGGTGTGGGGGGCGAAGGGGATCAGGGGGGAGGGAGAGATGAGGTGGGTGGAGGAGATGGGGTGAGGAGAGATGAGGTGGGTGGAGGAGATAAGGTTGGGGGGAGGAGATAAGGTTGGGGGGAGCATAGAAAAGGATGGGGGGAGCATAGAGAAGGTTGGGGGGGAGCATAGCGAAGGATGGGCGGAGGACGAGGGATATGTCTACGCACTGGAGGCGTGGATATGCCTACGCGCTGGAGGCGTGGATATGCCTACGCGCTGAAGGCGTGGATATGTCTACGCGCTGGAGGCGTAGCACGTCTTCACGGGCGCGTTCGTGTACAGTGTAGATACCTTGCGCGTTCCAAAGGATGATCACATAATGACGAAGGACGCCTATACTTATGCGAGCCTTCTAGTATATGCGAGCCTTTTGGAGTGTGACCGGGATATTGGCACTGGTCTCTGACCGAGGTATTGCACTGGTCGAAGGAGCGGATATTGGCACTGGTCTCTGACCGAGATATTGGCACTGGTCGAAGGAGCGGATGATTCCTAGCAGGGAAAGATGTCCATGCGGTACGAACGAGAGCCCCATTTGGACGAGAGCCGCGTGTTCGGCGGATGCCACGACCGTGACACTCGTTCGGCGGATGCCACGACCCTCGTTCGGCGGATGCCACGCCCCTCGTTCGGCGGATGCCGCGCCCCTCGTTCGGCGAATACCACGACCTCGTGGTCCTCGCATCAATTTTCGAATCTTGTTCCCGACCTCATTGTCGTGGGGTCGTCGTCATCGTCGTGAGATCATCGTGCGTCGTCGTGGGTCCATCGTGCATCGCCGAATGCTCCCGTTGATGAAGAATAGGATCCTTCGATGAATAGGCTCCTTTGAAAAATAGGCACCTTTGAAGAATAGCGACACCGCCATGACCTTCACGGCGTCAGGGCAACCTCTACAGCCTCAAGGCAACCTCCACAGCCTCAAGCCAACCTGCACCGTCTCAGGTCAGGGATCAAGAGCCTGTGTCTGTGTTCCACTTGCTTGGCGTTCTCCACATGCGATTCATGCGAATACGCCTGCGATTCATGCGAATACGCCTGCGACTCATGCGAATATGCCTGCGATGCATGCGAATGCGGCTGCGATTCATGGGAATGCCACACGCGATTCGGGGGAACACGGCTGAGACTCTGCATCTTGGCTCTCGCTTTGATTCTCGGAGATCAGATATAGCTTCTTCGACTCTCGTAGATCAGACGGCTACTTTGACTGTCGGGGATCAGGCAGCTCCTTTGATTCTCGTAGATCAGACGGCTCCTACAACTGTCGGAGATCACTGTAGATTGGCGCCCAGATCTCTCTCTTCGTCGCGCTATTTCTCCTGCATTGGATATTCGCTCGCATCCGGTATATGGAATGCATCCGGCACAGAACGCTTATGATGTACGTCACCGCCCCACCACGGTCCTCTTACACCGCCACCATGGCCCTCTTTCATCGCGGTCCTCTTACACCGCCACCATGGCCCTCTTTCATCGCGCCCGAATGGAGAATGGTTTTCCATTCGGGGAACGGGATAGTACCTGTCAGCAGTTGTCGATCGGCCGGCGTGGTTGTCATGCCCTCGAGGGGGTCAAGCTTACGGAGGGGGTCGAGCCTATGGAGGGGGTCGAGCCTATGGAGGGGGTCATGCCTATGGAGGGGGTCATGCCTATGGAGGGCTGGCCTTCCGGCCTTCCGGAAATGATATATAATCCACGCGTTCGAGGTCAGTTGTTCCCGCCTCCCCCGTCTCTCGATACATTTTTCAAGCCGCTTCAACGGGTCTTGCCACCTGCTTCCGCTCCTCACTTGTCGAGCGCCCTTCTTTATATCCGTTCAACGAGCCACCATACTTTCGTCCAACGAGCCCTGCTTCACATTCATCCAACGAGCCGTGCTTCACATTCATCCAACGAGCCCGCTGCCACCCATTCTTCCGTCTCTCGATACCCTTCAAAATGGCACGGACACCCAAGTCGACGGTGGCGAAGAAGTCAACTACGACGAAGAAGCAGCAGAGGTCGACGGAGGCGAAGAAGCAGCAGAGGTCGACGGAGGCGGAGAAGCAGCGGAGGGCAGGCGCCAAAGCTGCGTGCTGTGCGCGGGACAAGGATCGCTACAAGGTGAGTCGCGGAATCAATTCTTTGTTCGCCCGCGCTACAAGGTGCCGTCTCGCATGCGTCGACCGTCGTTTCCTGCCCGCCACCCACATGCCTGTCGCTCGACGCCTCTTGCCACCCCCTCCTGCGCGCCACCGATGACTGACGCCCTTTCCAGCACGTCATCTTCCCCGACCTATACATTCCGGACTACGTGGACGATAGGTGCGACCAATGCGGCTTCGAGGCGAAAACGACGATCGCCAAGCTCCGCCACTTGGTCGCGCATATCCCGAGGGACCATCCGGCGTGGACGGTGTTTCATCGGTGAGTGGTTCATCTTCTTGAGCGTTCAGTCGTCGTATCCCGTGCGTGTCAGAACGCTAGCGCATAGGCATTTGTCGACCAGTGCGACGCCGTCGACTGGCTCTCGCTCGGTTAATCAGGACCCTCCTCATCCCCCCGATCCCTTAGCACTCCTCGACCCGTCTACTAACTCCCCTCCACAGTTGCGAGTGCGTCATCTGCGGGAAGCCGCATGCGACCATGGACCAGGTGGCCGACCATTACTCGCGTAGCCAGTGAGTTTTGCCTCCACACTCACTTTAAAAGTCTTGTCTGCAATCTCCTCGCCGCCCCTCGCCTCCTCTCCTCCAAACATGTTCCCTCCCACCCATCTTCCCTCTATTCCAGTATCCCGCCCGCCTCACATCCCACCCCTTCATCCGCCATCCCCCTCAGCTAGCCCACACCAACTAACCCACCCTCCCCCCCTACAGTCGCGAGTCCTTCAACTATCCATGTCCGCACAAGGGCTGCACCACGAAGAAGGGCGACAGGTCGGGTATCTATCGACATCGGAGGAGAGTGCACAACTATAGGACGAAGAAGGAGCGGGAGGCGGAGGCGGCCGCTCAGCTAGATGCGGAGGTGGCGGCGAGGTGGGAGGTCGAGACGGCGGTGAGGCGGGATGCGGAGACTAACGGCTACCCTCCCCAGCCGATCGACGACTGCTCCGCGCCGACATCGAGCTCGTCGACCCCGTTGGCGACGCCGCCGCCGTCTGGCTTTTGGACGTCCTTCGAGGCACCCTGCGAGCGAGGTGGCGAGTTACCCTCGTTTGATGCTGCGGTCTATGGCGTCGACGCCTTCGCTTCTTTCGTGCCCGACCAGACCATGGAGTCCGACTTCGGCGGCGTCAATGCTCATGACTTTGACCACGTCGCTCAAGGCTTTGACCACGTCGCTCATGGTTTTGCGAACGTCGACGAGTTCGCGGGGCCTGCGATGGGTCTTGAGTTTGACGCGTTTTCTCAGCTTTCCCAGCCGTCTGCTCACGCTATGGCTCCCCACCCCCCTCGTGCGACGGCTGCTCCGACCATTCCTGGGATGGCTACTTCGACCATTCCTGGGATGGCTGCTCCGACCATTTCTGGGATGACCCCTCAATCTGCGCCTCTGCCCGCTGCTGCAATGGCGCTCGGATATCCTGCTACCGGGGCTCCTCAAATCGCTCGTCCGTCTCGTCACTCGCAAACCGGTAGTCACTCGCAAACCGGCATACAGTTCTCCGGCTTCGAGTTCTTGAATTACCCTGATGGGTGGACGCCGGCAAACATTCCACGCCCCATGTGCTTCCCACCGGTGCCGCCGCCGACGTGGACCGCTGAGGCGGGGATGCAGCCCCTCGCTCCGCAGCCCCAGCGACTCGCTCCGCAGGTCGCCAATGCCAACGTCGACGCCTTGAATGCCTTCGACTCGATGGACGACTTCAACTCGATGAACAACTTCAACTCGATGGACGCCTTCGACTCGATGGACACCTTCGTCTCGATGAACAACTTCAACTCGCTAGACGTCTCCGACTCGATGGACACCTTCGCCTCGATGGACGTCTCTGACGCCTACCACCCGTGGTTCGATCTCCGTGGGGCGCCGATGGTCGACTTTGGCGACGCGATCGTGCCTTGAGCTTCGGGTCATTGTACCATGGTGGTCTCGTTCATCTCCCATTCCACGCTTCCGTTTTCGCTGGATCCAAACACATACCAAATTATCTCGCTAATTACTCGCATTGTCCCCTGCCCTCGTCTCCCCGGATTTTTCATCATCGTCTCGCATTTGGAACTGGAATCATAGTACACGCACCTCGCCTCAATCCTCACTCAACTAATCGGATCTACATACCTCTGCACGCTGCACTTTCTTAGAGACTATATACACCACCTCCACAATTACTAGACTCCACCGCACACCTCTGACACTGTCTATACCCCACCCATCCCAATGTTCACGCTAGCAGGCTCCTCGCATACCATAGACTTCAAACTAATCTTGATAAAACTCATAACGTACTCTATCAGACGCCATCCGCGAAATCAAGAGGGCGAGACATCGTCGACCTTGATGACACCCACAGCGTAGAATCGGAGTATGGTGAAGTCGTACACAACGTACGCCGCCTGTGCAAGGCGCTCTCCGAGAAGCATCCGCGCCCTCAAGGCTGGTTCTAGGAGGCGGGCGCTCGGATGCTAAGCGCTAGAAGCTTGCGGGCGTCTCTCTCGTATCTGTAGAATAGGACATGCCTCGAGCTTTGAGCATCACACGAGAAAACAGTCTCCGAATAAGTTCAATACCTGATTCTGTCATGTCCGTCGGGTTCTTTCTCGACCGGGCCTCAGAGCAGTTAACCATCGAAGTTAGTTTTGCGATAGACATCGGCATAAATACATGTGTGATCTGGTACGCGGGCGATAGATCTAATAGGGGTAGCTCCTTTTGCGACGGCATGCTCTGCATGGACCGATCCTGCAGCAAGGGATCGCGCGCGGCGCAGAGCCAGGAAATACCGCTGGTACGAGGAAGCCCACGCGCAGGCTCTTCTTTGGTTGTGAAAGCGAGCGTCAGCACACGAAGTGCTATCACTTGCGATTTCAACGAGGCCGACGCGAGGTTCCAGGCATTGCTGGCTGCTCATGATGCCAGTTGCCATAGTCGAAGTCGAACGCGTTAGGGGACGCGTTGTTCGTCTCGTCAGGAGACCACGTCGTCGCATCGGCGAGCCAACCGTACTCGTCGAAGGCGGGCTGGTCAAAGGCTGCAGGTGCACAATGCTCCTGCGCAAAGTCGGCCACTGGAGGCAGCGACGTGACCTCCAAAGGCGACGAGAGGCGCGAAGTCGAGACCGAGTGAAAGTCGTAGTTTTCTATAGGCGGGAACCAGTCCTGCGCCGGAGCGTATTCGGAGGGTGGCTCGCTCATCGAGACGGGGAGATGGAGCGTGTCCTCCGCCGGCCAAGGTGTGTCGTCGAAAGCTGGCCCAAAGGGCGAAGCTAGCGCCTGGGGGTCCGCGAAGTTGGTGTCGATAGGCGTCGCGAAGTCGCTGTAGTCGTAGCCCAGCGTCGAGGGGGTCATGTCGAACGTCGCGGCGACTAGCTCGTTGCTGACTGGATGGCCGGACGCGCCAACATACTCCACCGAGGGATCGTACGGTTGGTTGTGAGAGTCGACAGATGGCACGTTCTCATCGAAACGGTTCGCAGTAGGCAGACGATTGACCCATTCGCGGGTCCTATGCAGGGGCGAGATCTCCGTCTGAGGGGTAGCGGATGTCGGAGCCTGCTTGTCGTCGTTCGAGTCGTTGGACGTATTCTCCTTCGAGGGCCCAGTCGACGATGCCATCTCGTATGGTTCCTCCCTCGGCCCACGCGGGTTCGGCGTCTCGTAGTTATGCTTCTTTCTACGGTGGCGCAAGAGGCCTCCCAAGCAGGCGAACGCCTTATCGCAATCGGGACATGGCTTCTTCAGGCTCGCGTCGCTGTAAATGAGGTCAGCCGAAGGCTAAAGAAGACGGACAGGGAGCAACGAGCGCATGGGGGGAAAGACATTGGAAGGAGGCATATGATGCGCTTGAGTACGCACTGGAAGGCCGCTTCGTGTCTCCTGCACCCATTGGATTGGGAAAATCCCATCCCGCAGTATGTGCAGCGGTAAGGTCTGAGAGGTCCCAACATCAGCGTCACTGTCCACCAGCGATGGACTAGAGGAAACGGCACACGCACCGCTTGACGGCATCTGCCCACCACAAGTTATCCGACAAGTGCCCTATTTTATGCATTTTCTGGTTGTGCCGGTCAAGTACCCTCACGCCACATCCTTCGCATATATTGTTGACGAAGCCAGGAAGGCTTTCATGGGAGTAACATTCCTTCTACGAGGACGCACGTCAGTCAATCGTAGTCGACGAGGTGGAGAAAAGTGGGGAGCGGCCAACGGCATCGAGAAACTGCGAGACTCACTTTCTTCGCGGCCTTCGACGTCCTGATTGGAGCCATAGTGAATGCGAATTCGCAAGAAGAAGAAAGTTTTGGGGTATATCGAAGGCGTCAAAAATGCACTCAGTGGCGACGACGGCGACTTCGCGAAAGCGCCGCGACTCCAAACTGCGCACAGCGAAGAGCGACTCGCGAGGGGCTGGAAAGGCGAGCAAAGCTGGTTACAAGTGCCCTAGCTTTATAGCGCGCGCCCGCGAAAGGTTCCCACCCTTTGCCTACCCTCGACGGCCTCGGTTGCTTGACGCCTTGACCATCTTCGCGGAGTATATTCCCTTATTCTGCGTTATGAGCGGCGTTCACCATGATCAAGTGACTTTATGAAAGGGTGGCCCGGAGCTGATTGAACAAGACGCGTGAGAAGGGCCACCGAGCCTGGGTCGCTGCTTTCGCTGTGTTAGCAAGCGTTCGTGGGTGGTGGGGGACGACTTACCATATACGGTAATTTGGGTGCAGATCAAGTGACTGGAATGCAGGTGGTGACTTGGAGGGGTTCCGAAGGACATGTTGGGAAACAAGACCATTGACTATGACAGCCCGGATGCAACGAACCCCTGAAGTTTCCGACGAGAGAGATGTGAAGGCGTTCCCACGTTCGAAGCATATCTCGCGGCGCTTTGTGATCTCGCCGCCCGAAGAACAAAGCGCATTCATGGATGAATGGTCGCGGGGTTCACCGCGCACGTAAAATCAGCCCATTGACCCGATCGTAGCAGCCGTCTCGGGATCGAAAGAGCTTATGGGAATCGTCGTTCGCAAGTCCTACATTCCGAACCGGTGAGCGGAGAATGCGCCCTTCGCCGAAAGGACACGCACCATGTCTATGCCACCCATAAATCCACGTTCGTTTCATCTGCAGCATCGTCCCTCCAGATAGATATGTTCGGATGGTGTAGAATGAAGGTCAAAACATATGGTCTATAGCGCGGTCTAGCGAAAGTGGTAGTACACACAGCAGAGGCGAGGGAAGGAACGTAATGAATAGCGATATTAGTACATGCACAGTGGGTATCGTACTGAGGGGCGATGAGAATGGAGGGGTGCTCTCGAGCTGCCAGTGAAGAAGACTCGAAGAGAAACGAGGTCGAAGCATAGGGAAACGGGGTCGAAGCGTTAAGGCATACGCTTCGTTGGATTACGCCCAAGCTCGAGGGCACTCAGGCGGCCCCGACATACCCAACGAGAGACGTGCGTATGTCATAACCTTGCGTCTCGCGTCGGGAGTGCATCCTCGTCGGAGCCCCGCGAAGGTCGGAGACCTCTGGACGCGCCCATCGGGCGCAACAAGATCCCATATGATTCCTCCGTCGCCACTGCCGTACTCTCGGCGTGGCCGAATGTCTCAACGAAGTCTTCGCAAGCGGGGGAGGTCCGTGGGTCGTCCGGATCGAGGGGTGAAGGCCAGGGCTCATCTCCGCCAGATAGCGTCGTGTCGAGCGTAGGATGTCGCATCGTGTCATGCGCCGGTAGCCACGGATCCTCATGCGACGCCCATTCGCCGTCTTTCGGCGATAGCGTCTCCTCCCGCGACGGCCATGAACCATCCTCGTCGAGGTACTCTGGTAGAGTATCGTCCTCGCCGAGCAGCGAGTCGCCGCGGGATGTCCTTCTGACATTCATCCTGTGCGCCTCAAGCTCCCCCTCCGCTACCCACTGTTCCGCCTCTTCCCCTGGTCCTCGCCTGGATGACAGGCCCGAGTGTGGTCTTGACGACGGCCCCGACCTGAACTGGATACTCCTGGACAGTACTACACCGCCCGAAGCGCCGGTCGACACGAACGGATCGGCCTGCGAGCGCTGTAGCGCGACGGCAATGATGACGAGCGTGGGGATGACGGCCTGGGTGAGCGTAATTAGTGAGAGTAAAGATGGGTCTGTGGGGATTGAGACGAAGGTATAGGGGAGGGAATGGGGGAACGCGTCGTCGGCCTGGTTAGCCGTGGTAGAAGCAGTGTAGGGTAGCGATGGAAGACATACCACCAGCTCCCCAAATGCAACCTGCACCACCGTCTCCAGCCCAACGGCATAATCCTTGCCGGATAGGTAGTTCTTCATGTACATGGCGAGGAGGAGAACCTGAGAGTATGATTGTGAGCATGGCCGCCTATACAAACAATGTGGGGAAGGTGATGAGCAAGGACAGATCAGAAAGTGTTGAGCGAGTACGATGTGAGGATGGTGCACAGCGAAGACGTTGTGAGAAAGGCGACGAGCGATTATGTGTAGGGAAAAGTCCACTTTGTCGACGAAGAGGGATGCTCATGACTGAAGAGGGTACTCACAAAGAAAGCCACATAAATCGCTCCAGACTCGGCGAGCAATACCAGGACGCGTTCGATGCGATTCGGCGACGAGCGCCCGCTGGCGACGCTACGCGCCTTGAGACGACGGTAGGACCTACGGAAGATATCAGCGTCGTTCGATATGCGACAAGATACACGTTAGAGGCACAGGTCTCGGACGTTCGTGTCGGACATGTCGCGACATATCGCAACTATCGTCACAGCTACCGTCGCGCCTGAATACTTGACTCACCACGTCCTCCACCCCACCAACACCGTGCACACCAGATTCGCGACCAGCCCGGGCACGATGCTGAAGATTATCCGCACCGGCTTTCCGAAGTTGTCGTTCCCGGAAACCTTAGACTGAATGTAGAGCGTGACTTCGCCCGCGGAGCAGACTGGGGGGAAAGAGATACGAGTTAGTTCTCTGAAAGGAGGGATGGGAAGTGAGAGGGATGCGCACGCACCTACGACCCCTAGCATGCATGCCGCGAGAACCCACGCGACGCGCGTATCGCGCATCCAGACGACCCAGGCACGCCATGCCGCGACGAGGTCCGCGATGAAGAGCTAGGGAGGAGGTCAGTCCGAGTTGGGGGATAGGGGAAGTGCGATGCGGGGGGGAATGGACTTCAACAACGCACCATCACCCGCTGCGCGACGATGTTCGACACCATGATATCATCCGCCGTTCGTAGCGCGCTGGCCGAGGGGGGACCCTTGAAGAAGGAGAGCTGGATGAGGTAGAAGGGGACAGTGCCGACAAAGGCGACGGAGGCGCAGATGAAGATGGAGGTCGTAGCGGCGCGGAGGGCGAGGTTGTTTGGGGAGTGGTGGCTAAATGAGAGGAACGACCATCGAGATGACACCCATTGGGGTAGGGAAAGGGAGTGATCGTCAGCGGGGGGATGTCGTAGAAGTCCGAGACCACGCACAACAGTACCGAAAGCGAGATGAAGAAGAGCGCCGTGTGTACGCCTACGTCTCGTCAGCAAGAAGCCTGCACTAATACGCGCTCGATCACGCACCATACAGCGTCATCTGCACGCCCACGGTGATCGCTGTCCACTGCACGAGCTCGACGGACGCGGGGGCGAGGAGAGATGGCGACGTCGAGGACATGGCTACATGGGCGCAGGTGTAAAGTTGTGTGAATGGCCGTGCGGGTGCGCGCTGCGCATAGCGTGCGGCGGGGCGCGTGCGTCAGGCTGGGCGGGGGCCGCTGATTACCCCGTCAAGAGGTTAGACTGATATGATAAGGTCGCGATTGATGGGGACCGGCGGGTAGACCTGGTGGTGTTGGAAGTCTTCAACAGTGTTGGGTTGTAACGCTGAGCAGGGTGTGGGTTACAAGCGATGGAGAGCCCTCTGCGCTGGGGCAAAATGGGCGCATGAAGTCGTACTCGAGTGCGGGCCGATCACAGTCGAGACGTGCGGGGGAGGGTAAACACAAGCACGTCATGTTGGAACTATGTAGCGAGGTACATCGACTCGGCGTATGCGCTCTGGATGCAGCTCATCGACGACGACGACGACGACGACGACAACGTGCACAGGATGTGGGAGCAAGAAAGAACGTGCGCGCTGTCGTCGCGGTTGCAACGTGGCATCTTACCAAATAGGAAGGCTTTGTCACCTTGATCCTGGCGGCCATCGTCCACGTCGTACAGGCTCAGAGAGCACAATCCTCCGAGCTATGCATCATCTACATGCCAATCCTGAGGTCCTCGTGTGACGTACGTGTGGCATGCTTCAGTGACGAGGTTGGCTGCTTCGGTGCTCAAGCTCTTGCGACCAAGTCCCTAGCATCTATCTACTTTCGAAGGCCGGGAGAGGAAGTACCCTGTATGAACACTTCCAGAGTGCCACGAAAGTCCGTGATCGGTAATACTATACTCCAGTCAGTGCTTGTGCCCTTCCTTGCGATAGATCCGTCATTGACATCATGATCAGTAGCAGGTTCTCGCCGCTACGCGTTCCTTGTTTCCCATTTCGTGAAGAGCACTCAGAACTCTCCAACATCTCGAACTGCGACCGCTGCTCTGCCACTCTGTGTTTGACTTGCGACTGCGAGCCAACTGCAGCGCTCACAGCGTCACTTTATAAGTTCTTCGCAACATGTATCCCGCCTTCCGACCTCAGAGCGGTGTCCACTGGTATGCCTCACCCATCTCAAGAAGTTCCAGTACTCGTATCGATCTCGAACACTCAGGTTGCCGGTCAGCGCATTGTGGTGTCATGCGGCGATCTCTCCGAACACGTTCTCGTCATCTCCGTCGTGTCTCTGCGGGCCCAACCTGGGGCACTATAACCGACTATGGTGCGATCAAGCTTCCAAGACCTCCTCAGAACGCCATCACACAACACGACCAGCATACGTACTTGCTCGGCCCGCTTATCCGGCCAATATCGCGCTCCTCCACAAACCAACGCGCGATCCATCTGCGTCCTCGCCTCGCCCTGGTGCCGCTTCTCTACCCCAGCCTCAACCCCGTTTGAACCGCAATGGGACTGCCTGGAGCGACCACAACACCGCACACGCGACCGCCACGAGGACATCGAACGGCATACACCCCAATGAAACGCGCCGTTGGCTCATAGATCTCGTGTGCGGCGCGCTTGACAGCCCCCGATTGGCTGCGTACCCGTAATCGTGCTGCCCGTCGAGGCGTCCGCGCGCGAGCAGGCTGGCGTCCGGAGGGTCCATATAGCGCGGCGAGCGCACTCTTGCTTCCTTCCCCCACTCACCCATCTCCCTGGACGACCTCTCGATCTTACGACCCCCTCACGACACCTCCCAAAACGCCGCCTTCAAGCCCAATCCGCATGCTATCTCCGGTGGCATTCGTCGAGTGCGTGGCATGCTGCAGCCTCGTGTTCTGACCCGCTGACCGACCCGAACCTCCCCCCACAGACCCGACCGCTGGAGCGACAGCGACCGCACGGACAGCGACACGCCCGACCTGCGCGTGTGCACCTCGCTCCCGCCGCTCTACCTCAAGAACCCCTTCCACGTCTCGTCCTTCGACACGTGCGACGACGACCATGACGACCTGATCGACTCGACCAAGTCCTGGCCCGAGGACCCGCGTGTGTGCCTCCGTCTCGTTGAGCAGCAACTCGACGAGGCGGAGCGCGGAATGCGGCTACTCGCCGGCGCGCTCGCGCTCGCGGAGGCCGCCGTCGCGGACGCGGACGACGTGCAGCAGCAGGCGGACGCGCTATTACGTGACGCGGAGCAGCGCGCGCGCGCGGCGCAGGAGTACGCGAGTCGCGAGGCCGCCCGCGCGAAGGACGCCGACAAGCGCGTCGCGGAGGTCGACAAGCGTGTCGCGGAGGCGGACAGGCGCGCCGCGGACGAGCGCGCGCGGGCGGACGTCGCGCAGATGCAGGCGCGGGTGGCAGCGCGGAAGGCAGAGGACGCGGTGCAGCAGATCCGCGAGGCGGAGGCGCGCGCGGGGCAGGCGGAGCGTCGGACGGCGACCGCGGTCGCTGTGGCGCGGGACGCTGTCGGTCGGGCGAGCGCCGCCGCGGCGCAGGTCGACGAGCTCGAGGCGCGGCTGCGCGAGTCCGACGCGCGCGCTGCAGAGTCGGAGGCGAGGGCGCGCAAGTCGGACGCGCGGGCGACGCAGGGCTTCGAGCGCGCTGTCGAGGCCGAGCGCCGCGCGAAGGACATCGAGGACCGTCTGCAGGGCGCAGAGCAGTCCGTGCAAGAGCTCAGCGAGAAGCTGCGGGAAGCGGAGGCACGCGCTGAGGCGGCGGAGGCCCGTGCGCAGGCAGCTGAGGGGCGTGCGGCTGAGGCGGAGTCTCGCACGCGGGTCGCTGAGGAGCGGGCGCGGGAGGTCGAGGCCCTCGCTGGCGAGCTGGAAGAACAGGCCTCGCGCCGCGTGCAGAAAGCGGAAGAGAGTGCCGAGGACGCATCGACCCGCGCCGAGATCGCCGCGCAGTACGCCCGCGAAGCCCTCGAGCGCGCTGAGGCAGCTACTGCGCGCGCTGAGGAGGCCGACGCCGCCCACGCCGACGCCGAGGAACGTGCCCAGGAGGCCGAAACTCGTGCTCAAGACGCCGAATCTCACGCCCAGGAAGCTGAGTCCCGCCTTCACGATGCCGAAGCCCGCGCCCAAGCCGCTGAGTCTCAGTCCAACGTCTCCAACGACACTCTTCGCCAGCTCGAGGAGCGTGCCTCCGCCGCCGAAGCCCGCGCCGCCAAGGCCGAGAAGCGCGCGCTCACCGCCGAACGCCGCTACGCTGAGGCCGACGAGCGCCTCCAGGCCGCGCAGAAGCGTGCGCAGACGTCTGATGAGGGCCTCCGCGCTGCCCAGAAGCGCGCGCAATCTGCGGAGGCGCGCGCCTTCGACGCCGCGACGCGCGAGCAGAACGCCGTGTCTGCCGCGGCGGCTAACGGCAACCGCGAGGGAACTGAGTCGCAGGTGCGCGAGCTGCAGAAGCGCTCGGAGAGTCTGGCGCGGAGGGCGGAGGGGTTGGAGAACCACGCACAGGCGCTCGAGCGGTACACGCGTGCACTTGAGGAGCAACTTGTTGTCGTGACTGTCCGGAACGAGGCACTGGAGAAGATGGTCCAACCGTATCAGGCGAGGGCTGCTGGGTGCGTTTCTTTCTTCGCTTTCCCTCCATTGCATGTGTCAAACTTCGCTCTGTCCTTCCTTTTCGACTAATTTTTGTTCACACCATCTGAAACCGTCCTCATTTTTTACAATCATCACCTCACCTCGCCCCTGCTGAGACCGCTCCATCACAGTCCCCGGTCTATGTACTGGCGGCAGGAGACTGTAGGCTACACGTCGAATCCGTGGCAGAGCGCATCTCACGCTTGGGACAGCGCCTACCAAGGCGGGTATGAGCCGTACGCGAACAACGCCGCGATTTCCTACGCTCCTCAACAGGCCGGCGCTCTGCCGTACGCGACCAACGCGTATGCAGCGCAGCCGGCTGGCTCTCAGGTCAGTAGCAATGGCGGAGCTCAGGATGCATCGCAGTGGTGGGCAGGTAGTGGAGCGCGGGCAGGCAGTGGCACGGCGCAGCAAGCGGTTACCGCAGCGGCGGGTCAGGGGTATTGGGGCTGAGTAGGTGCAGGGGAGGACCGGATTCTCGGCAACGAGGTTGGACCTTTGACGATGTATGCTATTTAAGCGCTTTCCGTACTCTATGGTCGAATAATGTTCAATATATGCTATGGCTCATGTGCATGTTAGCAGTGCTTGAGTGGACGGATGTGCGTATGAGACGCGAGGTGAGCCAACAGCTAGTTACGAAAATGCCGGAATTCTCCGCGCATCCTCCTCTGCTGGAACTGTTCTGCCCTGGGCCAGCACCGACGATAGCCACGGACAGTCAAGCGGGGAAAGCGCTTAATTCCCCATACGGCTAAGAGCCACGTGTACGGCATGTGCTACGACCTCGTGGTCCTTCATCAATTTCTCGGCCTTGTTCTCAATCTCAACGACCTGGTTACATCCAGCACCGCCAATTGCTTCCGTCGATGAAGAAATGCTCCCTTTCATGGAGAGCGGCGATCCCAGGACAGTCACTGCCTCGCGTCGCGGATCAAGAGTCCTTGTTCTATCTAGCCCTGTTCGGACCCTGACGACTTGGAGTTGAAAGGCATGCCCTTCCAGAGAATATGGCCGGTATTCCGTCCTTGGCGGGCTTCTATGATTGTCTATGTCATTCGTCCTATGATTAGAACATCTCAGAAGGTTGTCTTCGCTGCCTCGCTTTCACTCCTGACTCCGTATCATAAACCTGATGTGTGCGTCACTGCACCCCGTCGCCTGGGCTTTCAACACTCATTGGCGGAACCAAATCCATTCCGGCATGGAGATAATGTATGACCATCGTCGTCAAGCGGTCGGAGCAGTTGTCCGGCCATCGCGGCGGAGGCGGATTTCAAGAGGGCCTATTCCCGAGACTGCTATAAATGCGAATTTTCAAAGGTCTATCGCCACCCCTTCTCTACCACCGTCATTCTTCTGGTGATCTCCTCGACGAATCTTGCCACGTATTAGTCTCCTGCCCAAAGCTCCTTGACTGAGCTTGCTTTCTTGGCTTCACACCTTGAAATATCGTCTATCCTGCATGATGGCGCGAGCATACACGTCCCAAGTCAGCCGCAAGGTTACGCCACTCACTAGGAGGTCGCGTCGTACGCAGCCTATGTCCCCCGCGCAGGTGAGTTGTGGCATCGACGTCTTGTTCGCTTGCGGGTTCACTCGCTCTCGTACGGTTGCTCTCCGTGACTCACGACACGAGCGCTCTGCTACGCTTGCCACAAATTGCTGATGAATTCCCCAGATAAGCATGTACTCCAGACGCCACCTGCCGGATTATACCAATGATAGATGCGATGCTTGCGGGGAGCTTGCGACGTTGACGATCGACAAGATGAACCATTGGAAGCAGCACCTACCCGCAGGTTCTCCCGGGTGGAAGATGTTCAGATGGTGAGTCTTTAGCAGCAAAACACGATCGAGACATGTAACATTGGCATGCGGACCTTCCTAATCTCGATTTGGTCAGACCCTTGACAGTAGACTTACCTGCTTCTCAGGGGTTACGAATGTTTCCTTTGCCCAGAGACGCATCGAACGAAGGACGGGCTGATCTCCCACTTGGCATGTCACCAGTACGTCCCGTTTACGCTCTTCCGTTCCCTTTCCACCGCATCTGCCTTACACATCGCTGCCTCTCCGTACCACCTGCAACTTTTCCTCGCCTTTCAGTTCAAGGCCTTCCCAGAAACGACTGACTCAACCAACAGTTTCCCTTCCTTGAGATACCCGTGCCCGGAATGCCCGAAGACGTTCAGCAACAGGGGCAATCTCTCAGTGCACCGTACCAAGAAGCACGGCTACGTTTCAAACGCGCACAAGGAAGCCCAGGCCGTCGATTCAGACGTGTTCCAGCAGTGCGAAGCGGACGAGCGATCGAGGCAAGAGGGCGCTGTCCCAACGTCGGCGGCCTCAGTGTTTGGCGACATGGCCGGCCTCTCACGGGTGCCAGTCGCTCCTCGTGTTGACGCCCTCCCCCCTACGCATTGTCTTTCCGCCACCGACCGGCATTCTCTCGAGGGAGCGCAATACGCGACGAACGAAGCTTTCCTTCCGGGTCCTGTCGACGAAACAACGCCAGGCCTCGAACACGATCTCGGACACGCGTCCAGCTCGACGACTCCGCTTATGACGCCTCCTCCGCCGTATCATGTCGAATCATTCGATGCCACTTGCGATGCTCGCTTTGGTGAATTCTCTATCCACGGCTTCGGACTGCCGGTGCTGGGCGGCTTCAACCAGAGCTACAACCCGTTCATTGCTGGCGTCAACGTCGGCAACTTCTCACACGACGGCTCGATGAACTTCACCGCGTCTGCTCATTTCGCTCAGCCTTCGAACGGGATGTCGCCTGCTTTCCCTCACGCTACGGTCTCGTCACCTCCCCCGATGCCTCCTCAGGGAGTCTATACATCCCATCTTCAACCGCCACGAGCAAGGAGTACGACGCGATCTCGCACTTCGCAATCTCGTCGCTCGCGTCAAGATGGATCGGTCGAGTTCGCTGACTTCGGCCTTTCGAACTCGAACATACTGACGGCGAGTTGTGCCTTTGCAAGCCCTATGGACTCCTCCGCGCTTTATGCCCCTCCAGCCCCGTCGACAAGTCTTGCAAATGCCCCGCGCTCGATGGTATACCCGCCGGTCCCGCCGCCACATCTTTATGCGAAGTCGACAATGCACCCTGAGGTCTTACCGGCAGCGAGCGCTTCCCAAAATGAGGACTTCCAGCAACAGCAATGGGCGTCGAGAACGACCGAGCGACCAGAGTTCTCGCAGCAGCAGAGCTTCGCGCCACAGTGGACTGACTCGACCTTCGTGCAACAGCAGGAGCAGGCTTACGTCGCTCCCCACGCACTGGACTTTACGGCCGCCGACGCGATGGATGTGGCCGCCTCCTACGCGATGGACTTCAGCGACGTCTACAGCTCGTGGCCAGACTTTGGCGACGCGATCATGCCTTGAGCATGGACCCTTTCCACTTTTCGCAGTCTCTCCCACCTCGCCCTTGTGTTCGTGCATGCGCTCATCTATTATATTCCCCACTAATTTTTCGCGATTTCTCATTCCCGGATCATGGAATATATACTGTCAAACTCGGATATCTCCCCATACACGCACGCTTTCCTCATCTCTCTCATCTTGAATTTGCACATCACTCTGGACGATCTATACGCACTTCCTTACGCGCCTCGGACCTTGCACTTACACGCCCTATTTCCTAATATTACTCATGATCATTTTGTACTGCATTGTATAGACTAGACAGGAGATGGATACAAACCAGGTTCATCGCACGACATTGCTTGTCAGGCGAATGTCACCCCAGAAGCTACAGAGCTGGGTCAGTGACTGAGAGCATGCCAGCTGCGGGAAAAGGGCTGTGTCAAAGCCACCCTGTATGAGTGAAGGAGTCCAAGGCGCGGACACGCCTGTCTCGAGTACGAGCTCGTGCCCGCAGGAAAGGGCGATTTGAGGGTCGAGAAATGCTCGATGAAGGGGAGTCGAGGTTCGTGTGTGTGTGTAGATTACTGAGTGTTACCCACCAGGGTTTGGAATGGTCAGCGCTCCAGCCATCATCGACGACGGAGTCAAGGGACGGTGGCGCCAAGAAAACTGTGGAAGTTACGCCCGAGACAATTGAAATGAGCCACGTGTCCCACGTGCGCTCCAAATTCTCGTGGCTTGACTCCGTTATCGCGCTTTGTTTCTCGTCGCGAATGCCAGCGCACTCAACGGAGCACGACAGACATCTCCAGCACCAAGATATGCTCTCGTACACTGGATCAGATGCTCGTAATACTCTTTGACCTCTGACTCGCTGTGGCCGCTCGCCTCTAGCGCTGTAGATTATACTGCGCTTTGTTGTCTCCTTCCCGAGTCGGCATTCTCGTCTACTTCCGGACTTCCTGCTTTAACCGAACCCCTCGCGCATTAGCTCAGAGGTCACAAATCGATGCTCTCCCTCGATTTTCGTGCCCAAATCGCAAGATCACACTTGACTCAATGCTGTCGCCGACTCGAATGCCAACGCTGTCCTTAGCTTGCCACTCTGGAATATCTTGATGGGGCGTCTTAGGATGACATACAGAACTCTTTAGCGGCGAGCGCCCGTCTCCGTCTCTGATATAAAAGCGGCGCGCTCGTAAACGCTGTTTCCACCGGCGGGCTATGTCCGATTCGACACCAGCCGCGCAAGATCGGTCACTGAGGTGAGAGCCTCTCCCTAGGTCCATCCTCGATTGCGTGAACTCAGCGGAATTCGGTTGAAGCATCAATGCTAAGCGCGGGCGAACCCCACCGGGGATAAAACCTCGATCCGGATGCGATCCACGTGTAGGGTTGTCCCATGGTCCGTCCTGAGCCTTATTTTCGCCTTGTTCTCAATTTGGACGTCTTTATTGATCGACGTACGAAATTGCTCCCTTCAATGAAAATCTGGCTCCTTTGATTGCTAACGGCATTCTCAGGACCTGCACGGCCTCCCTTCGGCGGATCAAGCGTCTATGTTCTGTCGGATTATGTCAGGACCCTGAAGCCCGAAAATCTACTGGAGTGCTCTACACGGGGGCCTATCCCGCCGGTGAAGCACACATGGCCACCTCGCCTTGCACGATCACCAACTGAACGTACGTGATGGACACCGCCTCCCGAATTTCACCGCTTCGGGGCCCCTTGTGAACCTGACATCGCGCTTTTTTGAAGGTGTCACCGCGCCACCGCCTGTTCCTTTCATAATGACCGTGCGGAGTAAGTCCCATTCCGGGGATAGATACTTGTCAATCGTCGTCAGGCGGGGGCGGACTAGCAATTCGGGATGGCCCGCCGAAAATGCTATAAAATGGGAGCACTCAAGGTCCATCGTTCTCGCTCTTCTAAACTCTTCGCTTATCCGGTTTGCCCGCTCGACGCACCTGCCACCTGCCTCTGCCACACCTCAAGTCGTCGATCGAGCTCGCCTCTCCTATTAACACTCTTTCAAGACATTACCTCCCCGATTTTTGCGCCACTCTACCCACCAGTTGTCACCTGTCTACACGCGTCAGAACGATCCTGTCATATTGAAGATGTCCTCCCCAGAATTTGTGAGTCCCGGAATCAATTTATTGTTCGTTCGCGGAACAAGGCTTTGCGGCGCCCCAGCCGACAAGCATGCATCGCACTCCTGATACCGTTCTCCCTGCTCTCTCTCACGACCCACGCTTCCGACGCTCATCTACTCTACAGATAATCTTCGCTGCCGCCTTTCATCTCCTCGCCATCACATTCCCGAACGATGCCTGTAGCGTCTGCAGCGAAAGTTTGAAGACGTCCATGGATAAGTTCTACCACTGGTTACGGCATCTGTCGCCCGATTGCCCAGAATATTCGATGTTTATGAAGTACGTGTCTCCCACTGGACTCGCTGTCGCCCGTCGCCAGCTGCTTGCGGCGGCTGAGTATCCGTCTCGCACTAGCGCTTCTTCAGATCGGGATATAAGCTGACGTGATCTTGTAGTCACATGTGTGCCTTCTGCAACAAGCAGTGTGCAGACCGTACTCCTCTCATATATCATCTCAACGTCCATCAGTATGTGCATTCTCGCGTTGTTTTCCCTCGCACCCATTAGTAATATATCATCTAGTGGCGGCATATTCTCATACAGATGCAAGCATACTGATGGTAAGGAATATACGTTCAACGACGACTCTGGTATCCATCGCCACCGAGTACGCCAACACAACCATGTCCCACGCCCTCAGGCGAAGAAGACCTCGAAAAGAGCACGGCATAGCGACAACGCCGATGAGGATGTGGGAAACCAGAAGGGTCTGGGATCGACGTCGGCGCTTCCGAAACCGCCCAACAAGAAGGCTCGCAAGACCAAGCCAACACGCTCGCAGCGCAACGTACGGTCCGCCCAACTGCCTTCAACCTCGCGTTGCAGCCCGCCCGTCGACCCTCCTGCATTCGGAAGCCACTCGAGAATGACATCGAGCTCAACGGCGCCGCTTGCGACGCCGCCCCCGCCTCCCATCTCGACTTTCGCTCCTCCCCACTTCATCGCGCCCGGGCAGACTGCGCTCGATGGCTCTGGGTACTCCGCCTTGGGTCAGCAGGCCTACGACGGGTATGGTCAACCTTCTCTTGGGGGCTTTGGTCAGCCGGCTTTCGACGGCTTTGGTCAAGCTGCTCTCGACGCCTACGGCCAGCCTCCTGTCGACGAGTTCGACCTCGCCGCTTTCAACGGGTTCATCTCGTGCGCTCACGACATGCCCAATTGGGACGATCCGGCTCTGTGGACTAACGCGCTTCCTGGAGACGAGGCCGGATTTGACTTCGGCGCGTTCATGACGGGCATGGACGCTCCTGCGATGGACATGGTCGCGCCCACGATGGACGTGGCCGCGCCTGCGATGGACTTCGCAGCACCTACTATGGACTTTACCGCACCGGCGATGGATTTGTCGCGTCATCCGAACACGGACTTCCCCCCGCCCGCTCAGCTGGCTGAGCCTGCGAACGAACCGGCGCGTGCCCCATCTCGCGCAATGCCACCCTCGTCTCGCGCATCGCCACCTTCGCCCCGCGCGGTGCCACTCTCGCCTCGCGTGATGCCTCCCCAGCCTGCTGCCCCCTCGCACTCTCGCGGTTCTCATGGTGCTCGCTCGTCTCGCGGTGTGAATCCTGGACCTCCTCGTGAAGGAAACCCTCGGCCCCCTCGCAGCGAGCATCCTCAACCCTCTCGCAGCATGAACTCTCGCCGCCCTCGCACCCTGACCTCAGCCGCCTCTCGCACTTTCCACCCCTACGCCCGACCCTCCACCCGCCGTCGCCCGCCGTCGAACAATCCAATCAAGTTCGCCGGTCTTACATTCACGAACTTTGATGGCACGAGCCCGAATCCTGCTTTCGCTGCCGGTCCTTCGGCGAGTCGGGTTCGTACTGAGCGATACCCGCCGGTTCCACCACCGAGCGTGGACGGGTGTCCGGTGATGGGCTACCAAGCGGCACCGATGACAGATTATCAGGCAGCGGCAACGATGACAAGTTACCAGTCGGCGCCGACGACAAGCTACCAGGCAGCGCCGACGACGAGCTACCAGGCAGCGCCGACGATGGACTTCTACGCGGCGCCGGCGATGCACCCGCAGCAACAGCAACGGCAGACCTTCGTGTATCAGCAGCGCGCAGACCAGCACGGTGGCGCAGAGTGGATGTCGAACGCGCTTACGCAGAGCTATCAGCAGCAGCAGCAGCAGATCCTCCCTCAGCAACAGGTCTTCGAGCCCCAGCAGCAGGTCTTCGAGCCCCAGCAGCAGGTCTTCGAGCCCCAGCAGCAGGGTTTCGCGTCCCAGGCGTACTCCTTCCCCCTGGACCAGCAGCTGCTCGACCCCTACGCGACGGAGGCATTTGATTTCGACCCCAACGCGATCGGATTCACCGACAACTTCTGGCCTGATCTCGGCGGCGCTCCGATGCCCGACTTTTGAGTTTTGTGTTCCCTTTCCTTCCTGGTCCTCATCCATCCGCGGATCCATCATTACATTATACCTTCCCCCAACTAATCGCTTACATTCACCCACCATTCTCGCACCGGATTATTCACTACCGCCCGACAAGGACTTCGTACCATACACGCAGGCTCGCATCTCGTATCACTGTTTCTCTTACTCTCCAGGATCTATATCCTACATAGACCAACCACAGCCTAGACGCTTCCTGGACTCCTACATATAATCCTGCTCGACTCGGACTCATTACTAGGACCACCTTTTCACTGGATCGCAACACGCTTATACACATGCCTCGGACTTGGATCTCGTACATACCCCTCAATTATCATTCATCTCTATTGCATACGCTATACCATAGATACCAACTAATTCAGACAAGACTTGTTCCATACGTGCAGCCACTGCAGCGTGACGGTTTTGGTAATTCGAGTGACTTCGCGAGCGCAAGCAGAGGCGACAGGCCAGAGAACATAAGAAGTCTTCCTCAAGGTCGAGCTGGAAGGAGCGCCCAAGTGGACAGGAAGCAAGAAACGAAGCAGTCGCGCGGGAATCGAACATCCCATCACTCTCTGAGCCAAGCCCGACCAAACAAAGCTCTCCGCCTTCACCATCGCACGCGGCCATCGCGCCCGACGTCGTCCCCGATGGCGGCGCACTCGCCCGCTCACCGATCGACACAATCGACGTCTAGCGCGCTACCACCACCGAACCCCCAGCGGCGCTTTACGTCCCCCTCCAATACGTCCCTCGCTCTGGTGCGTCGTCAAACGTGCACCCACCGCCGTGCCTGCTAACCCATGCATACAGCCCCCATCTCAGCCCGTCCCTAGGTCCCGACCGCCGTCCCCTCTGCGCACCACCTTCTTCCCCGCCACTGATACCGGCATCGACCCGACCTCGGAGTCGGGCAGCGACTCGGACGACTCTGATGAGCCTGCGCGCCCTTGGTCCCCTGTCGCGTCTGCCTCAGTCACGAACCTCGCGCAGTCCCTCGCGCAGCGCGTGGGGAACTTCATGAGCCCCAGCCGCCCGCCGTCCACCGCCCTCCCCACCGACGCCGAGCTCGAAGCAGAGGCGCAGGCCGAGCGCGATCGCAGCAGACGGCAGGCGGAGGCAATCCTTCAAGCCGCAGAACGGCAGCAGGTCGAAGAGCGCGTCCTCGCGATGATGCAGCAGGCGCACGCGCTCCCGCCACCGCCCGCGGGGTCGATGACCTCCCCCGGTGTGCCGAGGACGCCCCCAACGCGATCGCAGTCCCTCCCCGTCGAGCCGGGCGGCAGTGCGCAGAAGGACTCGGGCACGCCGTCGTGGTGGGCCGCCGCGAAGAACAAGTTGACGCCGACGAAGGAGCTCACGCCGGCGCAGCGCGTGATCGAGGAGACGCGCGCGCGGGAGAAGGAGGAGGCAAAGGCGCGCGAGCGCGAGCAGAAGGAGCGCGAGAAGGAGGAGAAGAAGGCGGCGAAGAAGGGGAAGGATGGGGAGTGGCCCGCGAGCACGTCGAGTCGCGACAACGACCCCGCGCTGTCTGCGCTGAAGAGCGGGACGGAGGCGGCGCTCTCGCATCTCAAGACAGGAGGCGATACGATCAGGGCACCTGCACCCTCTACTCCCTCCTCGCGCAAACCCGTTCCTCTCATGGGCGGTTCTCCCGTCTCCCCAAGCCCTGCTCCCCCTCCTGCGCGTCCGATCGCGGCAACGACTCCACCGAACCTGTCGCCAAGACGTACGAATGGTACTCTGGGACCCGTTGCCGACACCTCCGCCTCGAACCCATTCAACGCCCCGCCCGCGAACCCGCGCCAGGTCTCTACTGCGTCTACAACTAGCGTTACAACACACGACCTCACGCGTCAGTTCCCTTCTACCCCGAAGATGACTGCGCATGAGATTCGCGCAGCTTCTCCCATTCTTGAAGCCCGCGGTGCATCGCCAGGTCCTTATGCTCGCGCGAATGGTGTCGCGTCGTATGGCGATTTCTCTTCGCCTGCAGACTATACGCCGAACCGTCATCCGGAGTCGTCGCCCAAGCCACCGCCTGAGCAGCTTGCGCATACCGTGTTCACACCCTCGGGTGCACTTGATGTGTCGGGGACGGTGCTCGCCGTCGCGAGGAGATTGGAGAAGCTGGAGAAGTGCGTGTTCGATCACTGTCTACTTGTATACGTCCCTAATCCAGTCTCTCAGATGGACCGTCAACCACGTCCGCGCGCTCGAGAGGCGCATGGTCACCGTCGAGGAGTACCTTGTCGAGCAACGCTCCGCAAACCCATCCGACGACCATCCCTTCGTCGCTGCCAAGCGCAATACTGTCCATGGCGAAGATGACACGACACTCGCCCCCACCGTCGCCTCGACGCACCCCGATCGCGAGTTGTCCTTCATCCGCGACGAGCTAGAGGAGCTGCAAGGTCGCGTCGGCGAGCTCGGGCGCGAGATGGCGGAGGTCGGGAAGGAGATGAGGAACTCCCAGCGCGCTGCCGCCAGAGGGCAAGCGCAGGCTCAGGCTCCATCGCAGGGCGGCGAGGACGTCAGCGCCATCCGGCGCGAGGTCGCCGAGGTCCGCGGCGAAGTCGGACAGGTCAGAGGCGAGGTCGGGCAGGTGCGCGGCAGCGTGCAGAGCGTCTCGCGCGAGGTCGACCGGCTCGGGCGGACGACGGCGGAGCTCGAGCGCGAGGTGGAGGGCGTCAAGCACGAGGTGCACGATGTGAGCCGGGAGGTGGCGAGGTTGGCGGTGTCGCCGGTGAACTTGTCGTCGGGGCCGAGTCGGGCGCCGGCGCAGGTTGAGCGCGCGCCGCAGGTGGGGAGTCGGATTGCGGTGAAGGAGGAGGGTGAGGACGCGGTGCTGGGGTCGTTCGATGGGCTGCCGTCTTCGGGTGGGGACACGCCGATTTCGGGCTTGCCGTCGTCATCCTCTGCGGAGTCCAAGGCATCTCCTCCGTCGACTGCGCCTATTGACACTTCAACCTCAAGTGCTCCGGCACAGATCGCTAGTACGGCTGCGTCGACCCTGGCCTCGCAGGATGAGCCCACGCCTTCACCGACCGTGCCTTTCTCTCCCACTCTCGCCCTCGGTGGACCTTCACCACTGACACCCGTTCGTCGTGCACCTTCCGTTACCGCGCGGGAGTCGACGAGCCCGCCGATGCGCTCGGTGGGCAGTGCGTGGGGATCCGGTAGGAGACACGGAAGCGGAACACGCTTACCGTACCCGACGGGAGACTACGCGCAGGATACGACGAGTCCGGTTGGCTCGCCGCGGGGTGAGTGCTCTCAGGGCTTGTCCAACGCCATGGGTTATGCTGACCTCATTCTTAGCTTCTCTGTCCACGGGATTCTTGTCGCCTCAGGTGACAGGGAGCTTGATGTCGCCGCCGCTCACTTCTATGACCTCGCCGCTCGACGCGTTGGCTGCGCGCTCGCGGCCGACGTCCGTACCGGGCCTGCCGTCGTCGTCGTACGGCGTCACCACGCATAACTCCGGCAATGGCGCGTCGGCGGGCTTTGGCTATTCTACCAAGAACACCTCCAGCTACTCGCTTACAACGTATGGGTCCGCTTCCTCGCTGGGTAGCCTGGACCTGGATGACAGCGAGACGAAGCGGGGCGAGGAGTCGAAGACCGCGCAGACCAACAAGTCATCGACGACGGACGCCAAGCGTACGACATCGCCGACGCCTCTCTCGCCTCCTCGTGCTCCGTTCGCGCGTCCGTCGAGCGCGAGCCCGTCACCTCCTCCGCGCAAGCGCTACACCGTCGCTCTCGGCGCTCCCATAACGGGTCGGAAGCGCGACGACGATGAGGATGAGGACGAGAGATATGCGCCTCGCTCGCACTCTCCTGCCCCTCGTTCACATTCCCCGCGGTCGCACTCTCCCGCTCCAGGAGCGCGCTCTCGTGTGCAGGACGAGGGCGGCAGCGACGAGGAGGATGACGAGTACGGTGGGGAGACTATCGGGAAGAGGCAGGGGCGGAGCGCGGCTAGTACGACGGACGACAAGGCCGCGGGCAGCAGTCGCAATGAAGAGCTCAGCAGCAATCAAGCGAGCTCGAGCGCCGCCAGCCCTCGCACGCGCGCGCAGTCCGTGTATGGCGCGCAGTCGCTGTATGGTGCACCGACGGCGCCGCTGAAGCCGAAGGCGCGGTCTCAGTCGACGGATCGGGGTCAGCGGTTTGGTATGTACGACGACCCGCATTTTGACCGTGAGCTTACGCCCGCGTAGGTACCGCTGCGTCTGTCCCGTCCACCCCAGTCACCGACCGCTTTGGCGATGGGTCCGGGTCGAGTCGTTTCGTCGATCCGCTCATATTAAGAAGGCAAGAGCGCGAGGGCGCGGGCAAGGTTGCGATGCCGCGGCCTATAGGCAAGGTCCCCATCAACCAGCTCGTCGCCTTCTTTGACGGCGAGCGTCGATGATGAAGGGTGTACGGAGGCAAGTGTAAGCGTTGCCGTCTGTCGCTCCCAACTCACTCATCTGCCCAGGATGTAATGACCATGCATCTAACCATCTTCCTGACGGCGATATACCTACTGGATCTACGGATAATCATACTGACAGGTCTTGCATACTGATACCGATTCCCATGCCTCAGTTTCTCCTTCCTCTTGCTTCCGACCCCCATCTTCGCATTGCATATTCATCTATCTTCTGGAATACGAGCGCGTCCGTCCCATTGTCGCCTTCCGATCCAACCCAAGCTAATTTATCCCTTGTGTGTAGGATACCAAGTTACTTCTTTGTGCAACTACTTATGACTTTATGAAGATGATGTTCTCGTTGCCTTCCTCTCATCTGGATAGTCTCCGAGATGCGCTCTGCGAGCCGAATCTGTTGCTGCCGTATCGAACGCGGGCTCGTCCGACTAGCAATTGGGAAAGCCTCCCGGGGATCGCTCACTGTTCCGTTACTTGCATCTACATGCACTGGTCAATGGTACAGCTAATGTCTGCGCTTGTGATCCTGAAGCAGGTCTTCAGCAGTGGAAGCGGGCGCGTTTGGCTGGGCGTGAGGTGACGGCGGGCGGGCGGGCGTGATCAACGCGGCAGCTGCACTGCCACCACCATGAAATGCGCTTTGCCGTCCGCCCGACTTAGCCGCGACCACCATCACGGATATCTTGATACACCTCAATCGACTCTTGAATAAGCTCTCATGGCTGCGCATACCAACGCATACACCTCATGCTTTACTCAGCCTTGGTTGTCCGCCTCCGCATCTCGCCGCGAGGATAGCATACGCGAACTCTACAGCGCCCTTCGAGGGATACGACAGTGCTGGGACACCTCATCTGCAGAACTGATCCAGGAAGGGGTCCAGCACCTCCGACTCGCCAAGAAGCATCTCCGCACCCGACCACTTGACATCGTTCTCCAATCTCCGCCCAAAGATGTTCCCCTCGACGTCTATATAGCGTTGCCTTCCGGAAAGACTATGATCTCCGCGCTCATTACGATCCCGTATTTGCGCCGAACTGTGGTCATCGGGAAAGGCGCATACAGCCGCATGTGGCCATTCGACGAATCAATCTGGACCTTCCTGCTTCGCTGGGCGGACTACTTGCTCCCTCTCGAAGGCGATTGCGCTCTCGATTCATTGATGAAGATTCGCGATTTCGATGTCACAGACAAACTTGTTAGTACAGTTCTAGGAATCTTCGAGTGCATCGCTAGTCTTCCCAAGTCGGCCGCTCGAAAGCACTTCACGAGCCATAGTAACAGGGCTCTACACACCCTCACTTGCCTCTGGGCGCAGTGGCCAAAGATTCTCAAGGCACACCACATCACTGTCGCTACGGTTATCAACTTCCCGACTCTGTTCGCCGACTTCTGGCAAGTCTTCGAACCCGATACCGCCCACGATCTCATTGGCACGCGAATACTGCGCTTGAAGAAATACAATTTAAGGAAGTTACTGCGTCTCTGCACCGCACACCTACGCATGCTGTCCAGGGCGAGCGACTACGTGTCTCTCCCGCCCTTGAACTCGGCTCTGGTCGCTAGCGAGGTGTCTGTCATGCGAGAACTTCTCCATGGATACACCTTCGGAACCCGGACGCTCTCTCATTCGTTTGTCTCGGCGCTCGTCACAATTCTGGACGATACTCTCCGCCACTCTCCTGTTCACCATGGAGCCGTCGAGCAGCTCGTATCGCTGCTGTTCGCATTCTGTATGCAGTTCGACCACGCTTTGATCCTCGCCATGAAGTACGGACTCTTTCCACTCATCATCCGCTTGCGCCAATCCTCGCCTCGCCGCTCGAGCTTGCACTCTTCCCTCGAAGGAGCCCCGCAACCGTTGGACGGCATGACCAACGCGTTTCTCGAGCTGTTTGGTCGCATCCTCTGCTGTCCGCGCGGCGTGAGATCCTTTCACGAGGCTCGAGCGAAGTATGCGCCGCGTTTGTCGGATATCTTTCTAGTAGAGGAGGAGAAGGCGTTGCTCGACCTTGCCGAAAGACGCCACGAATTGCTCATTCGCGCGGAGAGCGAATGGTCGAGCGTCGCCAAATGCTGCTACCCATTGGTATGAGCATATCTTTCTCCAGCGCCGCTTGACTGACACTACTTCCAAGTGTACTGCCGCAGCGGGGGTCCCATTGCGGTCCTGCCCTTGCGCAGAGGCGTTATACTGCACGAGTGACTGCCAGCGCGCGCATTGGAAACTTCACCGAAGGGAATGCCAAAATCAAAGGGATAGACATTCGACTTCAGGTACGTGCTTTTTGCGTTTCGTTTGCGCCCCGCTGAGGATGGTATCCTAGAAACGCTCGACGCGATGTGCGCGAAGGACGTCTACTTCCTTGTCGCAATCGCTCGCGCGTATGTCGAGGAGAACTACGGAGACATTCTCTCGCGCGCAGCGGGATACACCATCGCATGCACGAGCCTTTCAGTCTACCTCCGCCTAGACGCGTCAGGAGTACAGTGCAATTATGTCTCCTTGGGCGGCGGCCTTTGGAGGGACGATTGCTGGCACCCCACCGTCAACCTCAGTCTAAGCTATGAGCGGAGCGACGGCTTGCACGACCGCATGATCATGCTCACTCCGCGTGCCGCCGCATCTGCGCGACTCGCGAACGATGTTAGGCTGCTCACGGAGGCATTCTATGGTATGCATTTCTTTGCGCTCCTTGGAAAGCCACTGATACACTATGTGCAAGATCCTCCCTTGGACTGCAGTGGCTTGATGGATATCCAGGAGCTCACCGAATTCATGACGGACGAGCCCGTTATGTCGTAGATTTCTTACTCTTCCGAGCCTAAGTGCATCTCGTGGCTTTCGATAGTCATGTTCACGTTGCATATGCCGAAGGGCATCCGCGTATCACTAGTGACGTGCTTCAGACCGCCCACTCCGCGCTTTTGATAGTTAGACTGGGAGCATCTTGCGAATGAGAGTTATGATTTCAGATGTCTATATAAGCTGCACGATTCCTAATGCGTTGTACAAATATTGCTACATGTAAGTGAGTCCCACGAAGTCAGGAAGATGATTAAGAAAGTCCACCATAAATATGTTACATGTCAGCGAAATCCATCGCCGCTTCCCTTCGCGCGGGTCTGATCCGAGAACGGTCGTCAGGTCGTCTTGGCGTCCCATGGTGCCGGTATACGAGCCACGTCCGCTAGAGTCTCGTCGGCCCGCGCATCTATGAGGCGCTCGTGATGATCCATCGCCATGCGCGCGCGGCATCGTAAAAGCCGGAGCTTCGTGCGCTTGATCCCTATAGCCATCGTCAGCATACACGCGCCGCGCCGAAGGAGAGAGGCACAAGGCGGGGGTGATCCCTCAGTTAAGATGGGAAGACGGATACATACAGGTTGCAATCGTCTCTCGATCCTCGTCCATGAAGGGGTTCCCGGACTGGAGCAGGTCGTCCTGCAGCGCGTACAAACACCAAAGGCATTCTTCGTAGAGCTTCTCGCATTCGTCGGGAGTTGTCGCTTGGTCGAGAAGTTCTTTGCGGGCAGCGGTACGGCTCTGGGAGAAGGAGTCAGTGTATTCGTCGACTAGACGAGCTACTGATCCGGTCAGGATATTTGACGCACCAGATACAACGCCCGGTCGTAGACAAGCTGGTCAAGCCACGTCTTTGGCCCATCGTACCTCGCCGGCAGCCAGCTCTTGACAAGCGTTGCTCGCTCGTGACACTTGAGGAAGTGATCACGGAACCAAGCAAGTGCTATAGGTAAAGGTCAGCTTCGTTTTTGCTGATAGCTGCCATGGAAATCGGGTCGCCTGAGGACCGATCGAGAGTAAGAGATATTCACCATCGTCAAAACCCTCGCTGACGACGTAGTCACCGTCCGGGTGTCGCATGAGCATGTGCTCCTGATGTCGCCGCAGCTCGTCGACGCCCTTCTGCGAGAAACTCATGAGGAGCATGTAGACTGCGACGCAGGTGACCTGAACACGGCGGAGCCTCCATCAGCGCGACGCAGATAGTCAACGAAATGATGATACGCACGGCGTTATATTCCGCCTCGGCATCCGCGCGCTGCCGCTTCCAAGCCTGCCGCTCCGCTTCGCCAGCACGCTTTTCGAACTTCGTTGGATTGGGTAGAGGCTCTGAAAGCAGTTGTCAGCAATCGCCTCAACCCGCCGAGCGCTTAGCGCCAACGTGCGCGCAACGAACATAGCTTCGATGTACAACAAGAGACGAGACTCACTCTGCGGCACCGCCTTCACATATTCGTACATCTCATCCGCCCACCGCGTCAACACGTCAGTCTTCTGCGCTAGTTCCTCCAATCGCCCGAGTAGCGCATCCTCGAGTGGATCGCGCTCCTCGTCCGCGCCACCAATGAGCTGGGGCCGGCGCGGCGAGTCAGCGCCTGTTGTTGTCGAGGATGGGGTGCCCGCTTGCGGTGATGGGAGTACGCCGTCTGCTAACGGGCTGTGTGCGATGGGTGACGAGCGTGGCAGAGTGCCAAAGAGCTTCTTGCTCGCAATACTGAGCGCACGATTGAGTGCGTTGGCTGCCACGCGTGATGGCGAGCTGGAAAGCTGGGGAGTTGGCGGTGGAATACCAGCGCTGGGTGCAGGCGGAAAGGTTGTGATTCCTACCATGTGTGAGCATACGAAGCAAGCGCAGACCCGACGGAAGAGGAAGATTGATAATGGGAGCAAAGGGACACGCCGACTCACCTGCGGGCGGTCTCTCCGTCATGAACTCTGGCGATGGCCCGTCGTCTGGAATGGGAGCCGAGTCTTTCGGTGCTAGCGCGCGCTCATCATCTTGAACGGTCAATGGCGTGTCATAAGACGATATGTGTCGTGTCGACCGTCGCTCTTGCAGCGGTCGCCGCCCGCCGGTCTTGAGCTCTGCGTACTAAGATGAGCGCAGACACTTGAGACTTGTCCCAATTAGTACTGACCATCCACCGCTCGATTGAACTCGAGCGCCCTGGTATCGCCTACCAGGACGTACTCGCGCCGCAAGAGCCCGTCCTCCTCCGTCTCGCCCGGTATCACGGAAACCTCAACCTCCGATGGATGCCGTGGAGAGGGTGGCGAAGTTCGCGAGGAAGTTGGAGGTTGGTGAGCAGGCGCACCAGGTGCGGTGCGCGAGATGCCCGATGGCTGCCGTACGGTGCCGAATGTTTGTCGCGAGACTGGCGTCGGCGCCGGCGAGATATCGCCTTGCACAGCTTGATCGCCATTGGCAACGTTGCGTCTTGCATCCGCGTCGTTTCTCGTCTCGCCCACGGCGCCAGAAGATGCCCGCCTGAAGTTGAACTTGCTCGGCGGTACCATCGCATCTGGGTCAAGGCCCTCGGAGGGGACGGCTTTATAACGATCGTGACTCCAGCTCGATTGGCTGATACCTGGAAAGAGATGAGACTCGTATTCGAAGGAGCTCAGAAGGGAAGCGGCGAGTAAAGTTGACGCAAAGCGAGTATCTCCTCGTCGAGCTGTCCAAAGCCCGCGCACGTGCCCGCTGATGCCGCAGTTCAGACGCGCCGCGAGCGTCGCTTCACTGCCCCGCGAGCATTTTCCGCGACACGACTCTCAACTTCCGGCAATAACTCACCTCCAACAACCACCGCACCCATGCTCCGTTTCTGCTCCTTCTCCCCCAACGCGTCCGGTCGTGGAAACTTGCTCTTCTGCATCGCTGTGCTGCCAAAGAAATCGTCGAAGCTGGCGCGCTGATCGAGGAATAAGCATGCAGGGAAAAGCCGAGGAATCCATGTGTGAATGAAGGTAATGAAAGGAGAAGGAAAGGAAGACGCACTCACCTCCGCTGGTACACGCTTCAATAGCGCGCGAATCAGCTTCTTGATGTCGGGCGGGACAGGTGGGTTCGGGGAGGGCGTCGCCTAAAGGAGAGTTACGTGAGCAAGCGTGTTCTCGAGAGGAAGTGGAAACAAGAGTGGGAATGGGCCAAGCAGTAGAGAAAAGAAATCCCGAAAGGAGCCTCACGACGCTGTCCGTCCGTTACGCGTCGCACGCGGACATCGCGCGGCGCTAGTACACACATCGCGCTCCGGTGTTGGAGCTCTCCCCCCGTGCATCGCGTCCCCAACTTCGACAAACTAAGGTGCTCTTTCGCCGAAGTTTGCGCCTGCGAGCTGCGGTCTGCCTACACGTTGTAAACACTGTCTTTCTTCGTCTCGCAAACCCTGGACCGCGCTCAAAGGCTTGCTCTTTCGAGTCGCCGACCCTCGTTCTTCCCTCCTGTGCACGCACTCCACGCCCTTGCCCGAGTACAACACACATTCAAGGAAAGAGGATAACCCATATCCATGGCCAGCCACGAAAGCGAAGCAGAGCACAGTCACGACTTCAATGCGAGGCACGCTACTTACCCCGTTCTCCTCATCCGCGAACCGCACGCCGCGGCCCTTCTCAATCTTGTTCAGCAGCTCGATATGATTCTGCGCGCGGAAGGGCGGGCGGCCTACGGCCATCTCGTACAAGACAGCCCCAACAGACCACAGGTCGGCCTGAAGAGAGGGTGAGGATGAGCTTGAACGTGGGAGGGAGAAGGAAGGAAGAAGAGGATGAGCGGGAGGAGGGATAATGGGGAAGGACAGCGGAGGGGAAACAAAGAGGATTCGCGCACTTTCGCATCGTACTTCTCCGAGCGCAGGATCTCGGGTGCCATATACAACCTGATGAGCGCGTCAACTTGACGTACGACGGACAAGGACACCGCTCACGGGCTCCCGCAAAGTGTCTCCGCCATCATCGCGTTCGGCAAGCTTCGCGCGAAGCCGAAGTCCGCGACCTTGAGGACCGGCACGCCCCGCGGGTGGCCCCTCGCGTACTCCTATCCATCTTATCCCCGTAACAACCGCTTGTTCCGGAAATCCAACTGCCCTACCACTCCAACTTTTTCATAAATATATGGTCAACAGTTAAGGAAAAAGATTGGTTAAATGTCAGGGGTGAAGGTAAAAAGTGAACTCCAACCAGCATACTCGACATGATGTCGCTGAATTAGCAGACACGACACGCTAAGTTGCGCACCCGGCCGGCCGAGTCGGCAAAATTAGCAAAGTAAATTCGTTAAGTTGAGCGACCGGATGCGCTCCGGCCGACCGGGTGCCTAACTTTGCACGATGAGTTGGTTAAATCGAGGTGTCACGGCAACTGTTCGGCCGCTTCGCACGTAAAGTAGCGCATTGGGTCTGCTAATATAGTGCGCCGGCATGCCCGCACATCTTCCGGGCGGCCGAGCGGCTGAACTAGCAGAACGAATCTGCTAATTTATACCGGACAATATGTTGCCAGTCTTCGCGGCGGTAGTATAGTACACGGTTTATGCCAGCAGCACAGCTAATGTTACTCTACACTACGTCGTGTTCTATACTTGGTGGCAAAATATTTTGATACCAGGCTGGACACGCAAGTCAGTAGTAAGAGGACATCTAAGACATGGCACCTCTGACTATTGTACTGATAGCTTGGCTGATTATTGTATTAGGGCGATCAACCTGTTCTTTAATCACAGTGAACTATCTAAGGTGTAGCAAGCCCCTCAGTTTGCATGGCTGCGGATGCCCAAGCAGTGCTCATGGGCAAGTGGCGGATATTGGCCAATCAACTGACCACATCGCTTAATTTTCGGACTCTCGGCACCATTTATCCGTGGTCCCGAGGTCACGTTGCCGGCGCGCCATACGGACCGTCTATCCGTACGGACCGTCTATCCGTACGGACCGGCCGCATACGCACGGCACGTGCATGCGGAATCATGCGGGAGGGCGCATGCGGGCGGGCGCATGCGGGCGGGCGCATGCGGATGCGGCTGTGCGCGCCGCTGCCTGCGCATGCCGCCAGCTGTTCTTGCGTCTTGCTATCACTGTGCGCGACCCCTGCAGGTAAGTTCCGCACTGCGACGGCCTGCTGTTCCCAGCCTGCTGGTTGTATCCTATGCTCATCTGCCCCGTAGGTCTGTCTCAACACCTATCGCTCGGTGATCAGCAGCAGCAGCGCGATGTCCGGGAAGCGATCCAAGCCGCAGGCCAAAAAACAAGTCAATCTGGCGGTGCGAGTTCATTTCTGCCTCCTGCCGGCATTCTCTGACACATCTAAGGACTATGCGCCTGGCCCATCGGACAGCAGATGGAATCCCGCGAAGGATCCCGCGACCGTCTTTGTAAGTGACCTGCGCAGTGCCAAAACACGTACGCTCACGGCTCTCAGCGGAATGAGGACGGAGGAAGCCATGCTCCCGTAGTGCGTAGCATTGCTACGTGTGCTAACCAACGCTTACATCCCTCTTTACAGGGTGACCAGCTCGTACCCCGCGTACGGAATAGAGAGGAAAATCCCTCAGTCCTTCGATCCCTGCAACTCTTTGCTGAAACGTCCTTGTAGCTTCCCGCACCTCCCGGGCTCCCTCCGGCGCTCGCGCTAAATAAGGGCAAGATAAAGGAGCTTTTTCAAGGCCGAGAGCTCGCGCAGCAGCCAAGCCAGTCAAAGTCGGATGGATCGGTATGTCTTACTCACACGCGTCGACATACTCACTGACCATCATCTTCCAAGTCCGGCTCGCTTGAGGCGGCCGCCGAAGGCCAGTATCCTCCGGGTTTTTGGGGTGTGGTCGCCGACGGATTCGATGGCAAGGTGTGTAATGGGATCATCTCGAGCGTCACACACTAACTATCTCACTAGAACGTGATCGATGCGGGTGACGTGCAGATGGGCGAGCCGGGGGATTCATTGGTGCGGATATATAGGTGGCTACATGTATTCTATCTGACATATGATCAGCACGGGTCTCGGCGGCGCGCGGAAGCGATCTTGGAAGATAGCACCACCGAGGCGGCCGGAATGGAGGTGGACGGCAGTGACGAGGAGCCGCTACAAGTCAATCGCGCGAATGAGGCCTACGTCGACAGCGATACGGATGAAGGAAGTGTAGATCAGTATGCGGGTGGAGATGAGGAGGCCGATGAGGATGAGGAGGCTGCTGATGGAGAGGAGGATGAGAAGGCGGCCGCGGGTGGACAGGAAGCGGATGACGAGAGCAGCGACCGTGAGGATTACCAGGACGGGGTGCGTGCATTAGTCCGTCGTTTCTGTTGCTTTTGGATGCTGACTACGCACGCAGGAACCGCCCGGTGTAGACGCTGATAGTGCTGAGGTGGAGGCCACAATGAAGGTACGCATGTCCCAAGTCGTTGTGGCTCACTTGCCGCGGCTGTCTGACATGTATCTAGCCGTCGGACGATGGAATGGACCTGTACCGCCCGCGCGAACGGTCAACCAGCGCCGTAGTGCGTCATGATAGATGTCTTCTCATCGTCTGCTAACTTGGTACAGCGCACGGAACCAGAACTGGACAGCGAGGGAAACTCCCCTCCGCGCCCAGTGCCTGCCGCGCTCACTCAGGATCCTGCCTCACCCATGTCAGTCGGGCGCCCGCGTCGCCTTGTAGGTAGTTCTGCGGGCGGAGGGGCGAAGCAGACAAGGGTGCACATTCCTGTATGTGACCATCCCACTGTATATGCTTGTATGCTCACCGGCCGTCAGGACGTCGATTCCGACGAAGAATTCGAGTTACCGCGGCCGCCCGTGTATAAGCCTCCACCAAAGGCGATTGTGGGCAGCCATCCACCCCGGCGAGACTCCGTCCAACGCCGGCCCCATCCCGTCCCCTCTGAGGTCGCTCCAGGCCCGCCCCCAGTGACTCCGCCCCAGCGCCGGCGCCATCCTGTCCATCCTGCGGTCGCTCCAGGCCCACCCCCAGTGACGCCGCCCCAGCGCCGGCCACATCCCGTCCCCCCTGTGGTCGCTCCAGGACCGCTCCCAGTGACGCCGCCCCAGCGCCGGCCACCTGCCTCAGATGCGCCTCCACCTCCGCAGGCCGCTCCGCGGAAGTTGCCAAGGCCCCGCCCCCCCCTTCCGCGCAAGCCTGCCGCAGCAACGGCCGTCGACGTGAGTTGATCTTCTCCCTACCGATATGTTGCGTGGCCTTACACCCTGTATAGTTGGCTGACGATGACGACTTGCTTCTCCCCACTGCAGCGGTCAGTCCGCCGTCTCCACCTGTCATCTCTTGTGTTCTAATACCCTGTAGGATCATGTGCGGGAGAGAGCAGTTGCTATCCTGCGCATTGAGTCGTGCATGGGCATGGGCCTAGTTTGTGTCGTCAGGGAGGACATGGGTTATCCGCAGTACAAGGTCGTTCTTAAGACGCAGCATGGGAACCGCGAGATCGATCCGGTGAACTGGGAGCGATTCCTCGAATTGATAAGGACGGGCAACTTCAGACCGCGCAGCGCCGAAAACGCTATCGTCATCTTCGTCCCCGACGGCATTATTGACGAGTCCTCCCTGACCCTACGCATGGACGCCGCTCTCCAGACCGTTCGGCTGCTCGATGGCGCGGCCGGCACGGCGCTTCAGGGGAATGGTAATCACCGCGCGGAGGCGCAGAGGCTGCTTTTTTGGACGGCGCATCGGCTTACCCACCGGAAGGACGACCCGTCCGTGTGGACGCCTGCCTTGCTGGAGGATGCGTTGGATCCTAACGGACACGGGGTCTGTGCCGCAGTTTTCTACCGCCTGTGTACGTCTATTTCGCGGCCTTTTACAACTTCCGCTGACCCATTTCAGCCGTCCTGGAACAGTCCCCGTACGGGAAGCAGCTCATGCTCGACCTGGTGACGAACAACAAGATGGGTGTCCTCGGCGATGCGCCCGCGCGCCAACTGTACCGCCTCATGCTGCAGCTGTATTATGCCAAGGGGCAGGCGGAGCGGATGGTTGTCTACGGCGATGCGACGAGTAACGCGTACAGTCCCGTTGTCAAGATCATCATGACCAGCCAGCAGCAGGCACGCGAGATACTGCCGGACTTTGCCGTGTGCCGGCCGTTCACACGCGACGCTGCCGCGCTGGAGAACTCGTTCGACGTATCGGCATACTTGGTTTTAGGCAAGGGATTTATTACGGTATGCTTTGCAGTGGTTCCGTGGCCCTCTTTGTTGACGCAAAACGGCAGATTATTTCGCTGTATTGGTTGAGCACAAAAGCCCTCCTCTTTAAAGGAATGCACGTCCCGTTCACTGTTGACAACGTGCTCGAGCGTCCGGTGGGTGACGCGGAGGTCGCCGAGTTCTTCCTGCAGCAAGACCTTGCCTGGAGCGACATTCGCATGTCCCGCTTCAAAGATGCCGTCCTCCTGGTATGCGATATCGTCGTTGGCGTTGCCGAGGAAGTCTTCGGCACTATTCCGGGGCCCGTGTTCCTAACTAGAATGGGTGACCAGCTCTTCGACGGCGCATGCGATATGAACGAGCGGGAGCAGGGAGCGCAGTGGCTAGCCCAAATGCGTGAAGCATATCGCACGATGCATGGCAAGTTGAAGGCAGCGTTGGAGAAATTCCTTGCACAGGAACATCCGCCCGACATTGCGAAAGATATCGATACGCTCACGCTCCGCACGCTCCCCGACTTCATCTACGCCCTCTCACTTCTCGATCCTATTGTCACGCCGATCACGCCGATGAAGTGGAGTGCGCGGCTACCCTTCTTCTGCCCCTCCATTCTGCACATCCTCCTCAAGGAGCTCTCCAAGGACCGCTACACTGTGATTGCCAAGTGGCATGTGACGTTGGTGAGTACCGACATGTTGGTGGCTCCAACCATTTGACCCGTGAATCCGCTCTGTTGCGCGCGTTCTTCTATCACCGCGACGTCTTACCCTTTGTTCGGTCTTGCAGAGATGATTATTCGCGCGCGCAGCCTTGACCAGCTACGGCGTGCCTGCGTGGATAATTAATAATATGTTGATGCTGACCAAAATGTCAGATACTGTCAATGATCATTCCTGGCATACGCGCGCAGGCCGTGCGGCCGGGTATAACGTCCGACAAGGTCATCAATCTCATGTCTCCGTTCGACTTGTTCCGGGCGTGGACAATAAAGAACGCGGAACGCCTGGGCTATCGCGGTCCCGCCGATCGACTGCCTTTGGCATTGGATACCTCGATTATGAGTGTGCGTGCGTTCCTTGTGTTTGTTATGTGCACTAACATATTTGTAGATCTTGAGCTACATCCTCGAGGCCCGGGCATTTCTCAGCGATAGTGCTGTAGTTCGTGATCTTGCTGGCGTCCAATCGCTCCAGTCCAAGCACACGGACCGGCTGGGGATGGTCGATGTGCTGATGGGCGTCTTGAAGCAGTGGTGGAATCAGTGGGTTATAACTCGCCGGACGAACAAGTCGGCGGCATGCGCCATGGAGCGCGACATTCCCGACAGTGCCGTCCAGCAGTACCGGAAGCTTGGATCGCTCCCGGACGCCTTTCTCTCATCCCCCGACGGAGAGGGAATGCTGTCAATTTGCTTGGACATGCTGCGCATGTGGCCTCATGGGGTGCTCTGCCGTGCTGCTGACCTTCCCTCCTACGCGGCGAGCGCCCTCACCTACCAGAAGACGGTTTGCACCGCTGCCGTAGACGCATTCTATTCCGTCACGTTAACGCGCATCTTCCTCGCCGACGAAGAGCACCAAATCATGGACCATCTGTTTAGCGCCGTCAAGACAGCTGTCACGGAAGCCCTACGCCTGCCGCACCCGTTTGAGCCGTTCTCCCGCGCTGCCATTTTCGAGCCATCACCGGCCGACGTGACGAAGTACGGCTCCTTCGCGGCGTACTCTTCGCGCATGCCTAGCAAAGAGTGGAATAGCGCGGGGTATGAGGAGTGCGAAATCTCTCTGGCGGACACAGTCCCTGCCGCAGCTGGCGCGGTCGTGAACGCCGAAGAAGGCGGGCTCGGGAGTGCGCCGGACGATGTTGGCAGTGGCGCATCTGACGGCGCCTCAGGCCGGGAGGGCCCCAGCGGCAGTCGAGGCGAGGGCAAATCCCGGCGAGTACAGACAACCTTGGCCCCTCCGCCTTCCGTTGCTCTGCCGCGATCTACCGATACTGTGCATCCAGTCTTTGCGCCTACGGTCGAGCATTACGGAGGCGACATGGCGCGGATCCACCGCGCTCTGGACGATTCTGCGCGGGAGAAAGCACAGGCGAGCGTTCAAGGTCTCACTGACTATACACGCTCCTTTTTCAGCAGCAAGATGAAGATCCTCCCTAGCGTCGATGATCGTGGGGAGCAGACTATCGAGGAGGAAATGCTAACGACCTTGCGCCATGCACACAGCGTACGCCTCCTCTTAATCCCTTTCTTATATATCCGGACGCTCACATGACGTTCTTTTAGCTTGCCTGTAAATACATCGCACACTTTCACGGCGGCCAGACGGCGGAGGATCGTGAAGCTGCGCACGCACTCTTGCTCAGCAAGGTCCCCCTGCCTGGCGTTGCGGCTACCCCCGAAGAGCTGAAGGCCTTTCTGGACGGCACGCCGTCAGGGAAGGGCCAGGCGGGCGCGGTGATTAAGCTCATGCAACCTACGGCAGTGCAGAACGCGGCGAAGGGCCCGCAGGCAAAGAAGAAGACGGCGGATTCGGGCGGCGCGCGTGGACACAGCAGGACGGGCGCGATGCCCGCCGCTGACGTTGCTGCTGCCGCCCAGATTGACAAGCCCTCGGATGCAGGCGCGGCGAAAGCGGGCCCTTCGATGCCGCCTTACGAGCCGTCCGAGCAGCCATCCGCTGAGATGGCGGATAGTCCTCGTCGTTCTGGTTTGCATGCTGGGCACCGGTCCGTAGAACGTGGTCGCACGCCCAGGACCCTGTCCAGCGGGCCTCCTATCCTCCAGCCCCAGCCGCCCGCCCGCCGAAGAGGAAAGGAGAGGATGGCTTACAAGAGCGATGAGTTTGTCCGCGAGGATCCGTCGCAGGAGCGGCTGCCCGGGACGTCCTTCCTGCCTACCCATGTCGATTATATCTCTACAGGAGCGGGTCGCCTTCGTTTACCACGGGCGCATGGAGATAGCTCGGGTGGTGCGTCCGATAGCGACGCGCTCGCGACATCCGACATGTACAGCGTGACCGACCGCGGTCGCTTACGCCTTCCCGCGTTCTCCCGCGTTCCCTCGCCCGACGCCAGTTCTGGGGAATCTCGCGCATCGTCCAAGCGCCGCAACCGCTCGCCATCCGACGATGGGTCCCCCTCCGGTGAGCAGGACGAGCCCGCAAAGAAGAAGACCAGGGGAAAGAAGAACGAACCGGGGCGAAAGAAAGCGATGAGCAAGAACAAGTAGTATATGGTCGTATGTCCCGCGGCGCCCTCTCGTTGTGTACCACTTTTGTTATGTCGTATTATCTCAGTGTAACGCTTATTGAGGTCGCCCGTTCCGCCAGGCATGTACTTTGAACCGACGTCGGCAGGAATGTTACTGTGTGCGCATGTCGCGTTTTTGGTTGGGTTCGTGGGCTCGGATTTACAGCAATATAATTGATAGTCCACCGCGCGACGACAGGTTATCCGTCTTGCGTCAAACGATGCGCGGACATCCGCGTCTCCCGCGGCTGTGCTCCGCACATGTGAAAGACCTTTTTTCCCGGCATAAATACAGATAAAGTGCGGTGTGACACTCGCCGGCCGCATTTTTCCGGCTGTCACTGATGTCCTCCGATAAGGGCAGCGCGCGCAATCCTGACTTCATCTCTCATCCAACAGCCACCTGCATAGGTGTCCGTCCGCTGCCCTTCCACTGCCCTTCCCCCGTCCTCGCCTTTTGTGCTCATCAGGATGTCCGCTAGTGGCCCGGTACGCCGTCCGGAAAGACCCTAATCGATCGCGCTGACTCGCCGTAGCAACAGGGAGCGACGTCTACTTCACCTCCAGCATCCCAACCGCCAGCGGCATTTGCATATGTGCGTCGCAGTTGATATTGATGCTTCCAGTGTCCTTACTCGCCCTCCGTAGAACTATGACAACTCACTAGAGCAGCCAGCGGAATTTCGCCCTTTCTCCTTTGTCTTTAACACGGTCGAGCGGCTTATGATCTGCCAGCTGTGTGACTGCGTCGTGCAAGACATTTCCGGACATCTCAACAAGCAGCACAAACCGGATGGCCGCCTCGCAGCGGTCGATAGAGCTCAGATCAACGTGTTGCGGAAGAAGCTAAAGGAGCTTGGAGGTGCGGAGAACGCCCGTGTTATCAAGCCCTCCCTGGTTGCGCGCCCTATCATTGCTGGCCTCCGTGTGGAATGGGCATTCACTTGTAGCCACTGCACCTTGGCGCGATCCGAGCGCCGCCATGCTGCCTCGCACGTGCGTGACAAGATCTGTCACCCTGCCGCTAGCCTCTCCGATCGCGTCCAGTGTCAGCGCCCTTACAATAAGGAGCTCATCCGCGTCTTCCTGCCCCCCTCAACCACCAATCCCGTTCTCTTGTCCTTCCACCGCTTCGAGAAGGCCCAAGCCTTGCTGCGAGAGGAAGTGCCTGACGACGCACGCCTTGTAAGCCCGTTCTTGCTCCGAACGCTCTGGTACACCCACACCAACCTCATCGACACCGCCATCTTGATCGCCGCTACCGAATTCCCCGCAGACGACGAGTTCCCCGGCCTGGCTGCTCTGGTCCGCATGTATTTTAACGAGGCAATCCGCCTCATCGGCAGCACGGACCACCTTGTCCGTCGGCACATCAACACGCCTGAGCCCGCCAAGTATGTCTCGCGTTGGGCACCTCTGGCAGGACCTATGTTGCAACACACCCTATGCTTATAGGGCACTGTGTTGCAACAATTCCCACTAATTATAAGGTTGTAACTACAACGGTTTGTTGCAACATCTGTTGCAACAAAACCCTACGGCTACCAGTACACTACTGGCCTGTCGGACATTGCCGAGCAGGCCGCCACCGTCGTCGTCGTCACCGAAACCCCGCCGCCACCGTTCGCGACGCGCTCGTCGTCGTCGCGCCGCCGCCCGCTCCCCGACGCGCACCCACGTGCTGCCCGCCGCGCCCGCCGATCCTTCCCACGCGCCTACCGACACGCCACCCAGCCGTTCACCGCCCCGACGCGCGCTCGCGCCGCCTTTCCCACGCTCCGCTCGCCGTGCTGACGGTCGCGCGCGCTCGCCCTCGCGGTCGCACGTGCATCCGCGAGCGTGGCGCTCGAAATCGCGCTCTCGGCAGATGCCGAGAGCGCACCCACTGCCCTCGCGCTCGATCAATCAGCGCCTGGAACGCGCACCCCGCCGCTCTCGGCCGAAACCGTCAGCGCGCACCAGCCGTTGGGCTGCGGATATGCGGCGAATGCCGAATTCCTGCCCGCCCCTCGGGAAGCGTTGGCATCGGTCGACGCGCACATGCATCCGCACGATCGACAGAGTGCGCGGGCACGCCCACTTCCCGCGACACTCATCCGCGAAGATGATGTCGAGCGCGCGACACGTCACGTGATGCGACGCGTGCGTACAGAGCCACGTCAGCGATGTGACGTGGCAATGTAGCGGCAACGGCTAGAGCGCCGAGAGGGGTAGGGATGGGGCGAGGTGGGTGGCAGGCGCTTCGCGGGAGGTGACTGCCGCGTGCTGGGCACGAGCACGATACACCCTTGGGCGTGAGGGTGGTGGCAGCGCGCGCGTGTCGGAGTCGGCGTCGGTGTCGGTGTGGATGTCGGCGTCGAAAAGAGTGAGGGGTGGGAGTGGGGTGTAAAGTAAGGGCGTATGCGTTGAGGAGGCACGGTGGTCGACGCGGGGACAGCGATGGTGGTGGAAGGAGACAAGAAGTGCTGCGCGCGCGGCCGAAATTTTCCGCGGCCAGTCACGTGACCGGAGCCCCGGCACGCCAGGCCGCGCGCCGCTCCCCCACGATCGCTGGCTGCTCTCGATGCAATTTACGACGTCCAGGACTTGTTTAAGCATAATGTAGTGGAGGGGGGCGCCTGGAAATAGATTCATAGTATATCAGATTACCGCTATGTCTCTGTAAGCGACCAAAACATGCTTTAATCCAACCTTAAAGAATGCTTCGCCCTTTATTGCCAGAAACTTAGGTAGGAGCGCGTAGATTACACCAGAGACACGCAATATACGCTTATAAAGTACCTGTAAATACGTTCTCTTTCTTTATCGCCTCCCGAGGTCGGACGAGTTCGCACATTTGCGTGACGTGGGAGGCCGGGCCGAATGCCGATTCACGCTCGTTGTCGCGTTCAATGGCGTCTAGAGATCGCGGAAAAGCATTCGCCGCCGAGATATTAGCGTAGACGTGTAGGGCGCATTCGAAAACGGGGGTAAATGAGTTAAAACATCGAGGTTTGTGCATAGAACATGTCGGTATTGATGTCACTCGCAGCAAAGTAGTTCAATGAGCAGTAGACAAATCACTGCTGCTCAGCGAGTACATCAGTGCACTTCGTGCTGTTCCCAAGTCCCCCCTCCCTGCCTCAAGCTCGAGCTACTTTGCATGTACATACCTGAGTATACTACAATGCTCTGATGTGTATGATAAGTCTCGAAACCTTGACAATCCCTGAATCTCATACTCAAAGGGTGCTTAATAGAGCATGTACAGGTCGAGTTTGCTATAATCAAGCAAGCCCCCTAATGCAGTGAAGGCAAATGCATATACACTTAGATGCCTATACATGATATGTACAATTTCTTTTGAGGCAGAACGGCCACATTAGCTATATATCGCGTTGAGATCATTGCCCCTGCTATGACAGAAGGCAGAGAATATGGAGTTTACTCATTACAAAGGGTAGTGAGCAGCGCATTTTAAGCATCACAGTATATTGGTTTAGTCATACGTCTAGTATTTGCAGCATTCCCGGCCCTACGCAGCGCGCGGACATCCAGATGGCGGCGGACACGCGCACGAAGGGACGCGTCGTCGGCGTTTGCCGGGTCACGTGATTGCGCGGACCAAATTCCGTCCGCAGCCGATCGTGCCCTTTGCCCTCGACCACTACCTCAACCACCGCCCTCTTGCTGCGAGCGAGGCGAGTGCGCGTCTTCGCGCGCTCGCCTCGACCGCCTTCTCATCTGTTCGCCACACCCTCACCTCCCTCCTCCCTCCTCACCTCCCCACCTCCTCACCTCCTCGGCTTCGACCTCGACCCCACCCGACTCGACCTCGCCACCACGTCCACGTCCGCTGGGGTGCTCAACAGCGCCCGTCCGCCCTATGCCCCACCCCCTTTCCTCCTCTCGCCCTCCGCTGCCGTCGTTGCCCTTCGCCGTGGACGGTGCGCGCCGCGCGCCTACGCCATTCCGCACACGCTACCGGCCGCCTGCACTGCACCTGCTTCGGCATGCCCAGCGTCGGTGTGTCGTCATGGAGACATGACGAACACGACGACGTCGGCTGCACGCGGCGCGTGTAAGAGCGCGTCGATGTCGTTGCCATAGCAACAACTACGTGGCAATTGAGGGCCGCGGCAATGGGAACGCTCGCCGAGCGCATGCCGTCCGCTGGACGGTGTGTCGCGGGAGGAGGTGTGGGTCCGCGGATTGGACGGTCCGCCCACGTGGCACGGCCCAGTCTACGCGTCGGCCGAAGCGAACCAGCGCGCAGCGCAATCCGACGAATGCGAGCGGGTACAGGCAGTAGCCGTGTATGCGCAGCTCGACGGCCAGCGCAAGCGCGTGCTCGCTGACCTGCGGGTTGGCTAGCGCGACCTCGGCATCTGCCGAGAGCGCGATTTCGAGCGCCACGCTCGCGGATGCACGTGCGACCGCGAGGGCGAGCGCGCGCGACCGTCAGCACGGCGAGCGGAGCGTGGGAAAGGCGGCGCGAGCGCGCGTCGGGGCGGTGAACGGCTGGGTGGCGTGTCGGTAGGCGCGTGGGAAGGATCGGCGGGCGCGGCGGGCAGCACGTGGGTGCGCGTCGGGGAGCGGGCGGCGGCGCGACGACGACGAGCGCGTCGCGAACGGTGGCGGCGGGGTTTCGGTGACGACGACGACGGTGGCGGCCTGCTCGGCAATGTCCGACAGGCCAGTAGTGTACTGGTAGCCGTAGGGTTTTGTTGCAACAGATGTTGCAACAAACCGTTGTAGTTACAACCTTATAATTAGTGGGAATTGTTGCAACACAGTGCCCTATAAGCATAGGGTGTGTTGTTACAATCATAGGGACAGACCTCCGTTGGGTGGCTATGCGCTCCATGCTAACCAGACGCTATGCGTGCAGGGGTATTAACCATGAACCGTTTCACGTGATCACAAAGGCGTCCGACAGCGACTACACCGTCCCCGTCATCCGCATGCTTGCCATGCTGATGCGCGAGCCGAAGGGCCTCGATCTCCCTAAGGACGCGACCCTCACGCGCGTTGTACGCCGTCTCTCCCAGCGCCTCCGCCTTCCCAAAGACCACCCCCGCCATGCCCAGATTACCGACATTCATCGAGTCCTCTCTGAAGTCTGGTTCCGCGAGTGGCGGCGCACTCAACAAGGCGACTCCATCGCCGATCCCACGATGGCATTCCTCACATACTCCAGCAAGAAGGCGGACGGGAGCTTCGCCACCGAGAAGGAAACCACTGGAATCCTCGCCCGATTCACGCGCAGTATCCGGCTTGCGGCCATCTACGAGCTGCAAACACGTCTGACGGAGACTACCGCGTTTGACCAGTGGACGGCGGTTCAGCCTCTGCTCCGGTTTGTACAGGAGAACGAGTTCACGGCCTTTGATAGCATCCGCTCCCTGCAGCACTACGCTACAGCGCTCGCATACAATACACTTTCACTGCCGCGCATCTGGTGGACGGACGATGACAAGCACGAGGAACTTCTCTACCATGGGCGGAGGATCAGCCTCCCGCAGATCCGTGAGATCGTCACCCGCTTGCACCGGGAAGCGATCGCGATCTTCGACACTCTCACTGAGGGGCTCGACACTACCGTTCCATACTCGAAGTTCGTCGACGACCTGCAGGAGAACAAGCCCGGTTATTCGTTCACCCATCTGGATGATGACGCCTCACTAGAGGCGCTCTCCGAAAGCTTCTCTCAGCAGTTCTTCACATCGACAAAGCTCAAGTTTCTCAACAACGCCGGCCTTGGGCTCGACACTGACAAGGCGCGCACATGGATGCGCCGACTGGCGAAGCTCGAGAGGATCCTCATGGTCATCATCCAGCTGAGCAGCGGCGGCCCCGGGAGAGGAACGGAGATGTGCGCGCTTCTTGCTCGCAACACGCCCTACCGCCTTCGTAACCTGTTCCTTATCGATAAGTGCATCGCTGTCGTGCGACAATACAACAAAACGACCAACAACGCTCAGCACGACAAAGTCATCCCCGCTTCACTGGACGGCGTCGCCGGCGATATCATAGCACGTCTACACTTTTACCGCCGCCCCAGGGCTGCGTTCTTCGCATCCGTCCTCTGGCCACTTCAGACGGACCTTCCGCGCGCATACCGGGACATGCTCTTCATGGATAATGGCTGTCTCTTCACCAGCGCAAAGCTCAGCGATGCGATCGGCGACGCATCCGGTCGTATCCTTGGCTGGCGACTCGGCCTGAGCTCGTGGCGCCATATATATATATCCGTCAATCGCGAGCACTTTCACGACGAGTCGGACGAGCCCTCCGCAGCCGAGGAGGTTGACGCGCTCCAGGCGGGGCACACGCTTGCCATCGCGAATCAGATCTACGGTCTCTCCCACGGCATCCTGTCCGGCCTGACGGCTCCCATCGTCAAGAGCTATTTGAACAACAGTGACCGCTGGTGCCGTGACGTTCTCCGTCTCATTCCCGGAGGCCTCTTACGCAGATACGACGAGTGCACCGCTAACCACTACGACAGCGTATATCCACCGCCACCTCCGCCTCCGCCTCCGCCTCCGCCCCCGCCCCCGCCGCCTGCTCCGCCCTCCGCTGATAGCGAGTCTATCCGGTTTCTTGTATCCGCTATGACCACACTCTCCGCCAACGTCTCCAAAATGGCCGCTCGTCAAGATGAACTCTTTTCCATGATTGCCGGACAGGGCGCGCTCCGGTCCGTTGGCCCTCACGAGTGTGAGTGTGGCCGTATCTGCGCGTTATCATGGCTAATTCGCTAGCAGCCGCGATCATGCCTGGGTTCGCCTCGCAAGAACCGCTTCAACCGCCCCGAACTCCTTCCCCTCACCCCCATGCGGCCTATGATGACGCTGCATCTCAACATGTCGCCTTGGAAGAAGACCAGGCCATGCAAAGCCCACCTCCGCCACAACTACGTCAATACGCCGCTGAGAATAAAAGTGAGCGTGCGAGCGCGACCAATTAGCTGAACCGTTCGATTAATTTACTCGCTATCAGCGCGGCCACTCGCGCGCGGCACCCTCCGTGCACTCGATGATGCCTTTGAGCACGTGCCAGATCTTCAAGCCAGCAATGCGCTGGACGTTCGCATGGCGGACCCGGAAGATGTGGACGTGGATGAGGGGATCCCCCCTGACGATGTGCACACCCCGAACATGCCGTTCCGTAAGCGATTAGTCGAATCAACGTGTTCTCTTTGCTAATCCATCGTCTAGATGATCTTCCAGAGAGCGATATTGTCGCCGAGTCTCCACTTTACAGTTAGCTTCTTGCTAAGTACCGGGCGAGCCTCAATCTAATCCATGTTTCGCAGAGCCGCGGCGTGAAGCGCTCTATACCTCCTCTTCTGCCGCAATTCCTTCTGTGACCTGTGCGCCTTTCTTTGGTGGAAGTAACCGCGCTTCTTTGCTAATTCCATCTGCAGCGCGAATTGAAGCTCAGCGTAAAAAGGAGGAAGCGTCCGCTTATGCTTCACTTCCCGGAAAGCAGCGTAAAGCTCTTCGTCGCGCCGGTCAGTATGAGACCCCCGGTACGCCGCTATGTGTCTGACTATTCTCAGCGGATCCTCCTCTATTTCCTCCTATGTCCGATGCTCCGTTGTCTTCAAGCCCTGGCGAGAATGGTGCGTGTGCTCGTCGTCGATGCCCGGGACATGTGAGCTAATACGAGTCATCTGGTACAGAGGAGCGTCGGGCGACGAAGCCTGTTGACGGTGCGTTTTTATGGTTGGTGGGCTACGTGTACTTACCGAGCACGCACTCTGTCAGCTCCACGCACTCACGTTGGCGCTCGTACAGGCATGCGTCAGTGCAGTACCCCTTTGTCTATGCTCTATTCTGATATTTCCGTTTCTCTCTCTAGCAGCCGGCCGAGGTGCGCAGCGCCGTGCCCTTTAACCCCCCTTTTTATTCACTGAGTTGTAGATACCCGCCTCTATGGCGGAGACCATGCCTCCAGTAGCAGAGCAACGGTGCCCGCTACGACCCGTCTTCAGCCGTCACTCAATCCCGCACCTGCGCCGCCGGCCATGCGCAACGTGGCAGCGCTTCGGAAGACGCGCCCTGCTGCTGTGCGCTTGCCTTCATCGCCCGTGCGTGTTCCCGCGCCCAAGCGGCCGCCCGCAAATCGGCCGCCCGCCGTTCCTTCACGCGCCGCGGCATCTGTCGCTGGCCCGTCCCGTCCGGTAGCTCCTACCGCAATCGCTGGTCCTTCCCGTCAAGTCCCAGCTACTGCGGTTCCCCGAGGGGCGCAAGGATCAGCGCCACAAGCACGTGCGGGTCCCGCAGTCACGTCCCGCGTTCCTCGTGGCGCGGCGAAGTCATACGTCTATCCAGAGAACCCATTCGATGGACTGGCCCTTGTGTTAAAGTCTGCCACGGAGTTTAGAGAAGGAGATTGCCGCCCTGGAGAGGATGAACGTACGTCTGTGCTTTACGCATCGCGTATGGCTGTCTGACACTCTTCCTCTAGTATTCCCTGTGCCAGAAGCGTTGCACTGTACGATGGACGAACCATACCCTGATCCCACGGACCTGGAGAACGATGATCTCCTTCCCCTGGTCCGCGAATATCTGGGGAAACCCACCGCTGTATGGCGCTCGCCTGAGCAGCGCGCCGCTATCATCGCGCTTCTCTGCCTCACTCGCGATGTCATTGTCGCTATGGGTACAGCAGCGGGCAAGTCAGTCATCGCGCTGGCTCCCTCCCTCGTCAAACAGGGGTTGACCGCCATCATGGTCCCCCTCCTGTCCTTGAGGGACGATTGGGCGCGCCGCATGGACGACGGTGGCATCCAGTACGTCGATTTCGCTAACGCAAAATACGGAGATATTCCTGCAGGCACGAAGGTTGTGCTCATCTCCGTCGATATCGGCCGCTCCGACGGGTGGATGGCGGCCCTACGACATGCGCGCCTTCGAGGCATGCCCATCATGCGAATCGTCGTCGACGAGGCGCAGATGATCCTCACATCGCAGGACTTCCGTAAGCGGTTGCGGGAAATTTACGAGATCCGCTATGTCGAGTGCCCGCTCGTGCTCCTGACGGGCAACGGTACTCCTGACAGTATACCCTACTACATCAAGGAGTTCGGCCTCTCCGACCCCCTTGTCATACGCACCCTCGGAGACCGCCCAGAGATCAAGTACATCATCCAGCCCGCGCAGGAATCCATGACTGCCGGTGCTCGCTGCATCAGGGGCTATGTCGACGCGGCGAAGCTGCCTCGCCGTGACCGCTGGATGGTCTTCGTCACGAGTATTGCTGAAGGTTATGCCCTTGCCAAGGCGCTAAACGTGGAGTGCTACCACGCACCTCGAGACGACGGCGAGCATCAGGCTACCGCTGAAGTTCTCCAACGCCGCCTTGACAATTGGAAGTCCGGCAAGTACGTCGGGATCGTCACAACCAGCGCGCTCGCCTGCGGCAATGACTTTCAGCACGTTCGCTTTGTCTTCCATTGGGGTGTTCCTCGCACCCTTATCGACTTCCTTCAGGAGTCCGGCCGCGCCGCACGCGATGGGCGTCCGGGGTACTCGATTGTCTTTGCGAACAAGGGCTTCCCAGCGTCTAATGCCGTCCCTGTTATACGCAACCTCCAAGGACATCATCTCATCCACTATGTCTTTTTCGTCATGGCGACTGCGCTCCTTGACAATGACCCGCAGAAGTGCATGCGGATCATCTTCAACACGTACAACGACGGCGTACCTCTCTCCTGCTTCCAGATTCGTAATGCACAACTCTGTCATTTCTGCGAAATTGGTGCGTCCCGTACACTGCTATCCCGCATGCGATATCCTTACCTTTTCTCTTAGCGTATCGTTCGCTTCCGGAGATGACGCGCAAGGGCCGGAGCCAGTACCAGCACGACCCGCACGCGACCCACGCACTGCAACCCCTCCTTCCTCGCTTGTACTCCCCGGCGACGGCGACCCAGGTCGAGCGTGTTCTTCGCAAAGGCTTCGAGGGTGCGCGCTTGGCCGCCGAGGCGCGCACTATGGACCGCATGGCCATGACCGCCGACCAGATCGAGAACTGGCAGGACTTGCTCGACGAGGTCGGCGAGCACTCCTGTGGCTTCTGCTTTGTCCACTGGAAGCTCGGCAGGTTCGCGTCGCGTGACGATGCTCATCTGAGGCATGAGATGTGGAGCTGCCCTCTGTCGCCGTCGAGGAACGAGTGGAAGGTCCTCCGCAACCTTCCCAGGTACGGGCGGCATGACGGCAAGATCGCATGCTACTCTTGCCACTTCGCCACGATGGGTGGAAACCGACTGCATCCGCCATACTCATCGCGCCGGGACGGCGACCATCCTCACTTGGAGTTCGTCCTACCCGCTCTCTGGGCCGTATGGCTGGACGACGGCCTTCGCGCCGAAGCATTCCATGACCTACAGGTGGACGAGCATAATCATTCGTGGGACTCTCTCGAGCTGCTGTGCACGTGGCTTGTTGACCCTGCCGCGACGGACAGTTTGATTACGGGGCAAAGGTTGTTCAATGTTCCAGGGATGGCGTTTATGGAGTGGCTGCGCCGGCGGTTCGATATCGGCGACAACGGCTATATTGGTAAGTCTGCTTCCTCGCCCCACGTCTTTCAGCCATCTCACCTGATACCAGTCCAGCTCGCAGCGCAGGGCGTCCTTCAGTAGCTTTTTAGAGTCTTCTACCACAGTTGTGGTCTCCGCGTATCCCTTCCTTCGTGCGCTTCACTACGGATTTTGTCTCCATCGTTTCTATTTGTACTGGCCATGCCACCCTAGCTATATCAGGTTGATCTGTGAATGCATTCGGGCGCCTCGCCAATTTACTTGACCCTGCCATGATGCGTGCTCCATGCGCGTGTCCGCCTGTATGCGCCCATTATCCGGTCGGCGACAGGCAGTATCGCATTATTGGCAAAAACCATAGAAGTGATTGTGCTGAATAGCTCGCGCCCCTGGTCGCATGAGAAACGGATGTCGGAGGCAATGTAATTCGCGCAGTGAGGAAAATGCTCCGACACGCTGCCCACACGTTGCGGGTGCTACCTCTACCGTCCACCAGTGGCATGTTGTTCTGCACATATCTAGCCGTCCTCAGCCGGTTAGGACTCTGACTGGAAGCATATGCTCGCAGCGTGGTAGCGCGGCGCAGGAAGACAAGAGAACGATAAATCATGAATATTCAAAATGTACATGCTTTGTTCGTACGGAGGACTACAGCTTCGCAAGGTCATTCATTATGCACCATCCGACGCGCTCCCGAGCGATGGCGCCGTACCCTCCGCCGTGCTAGATGGGGCCGGGGACGGGCTGGTTGAAGGATACCTGGCGGAACCGGGCCTTGTGCTTGGCAGACTCGTTGTGCGGATGGGCGAGTCAGACAAGCTGCTGGCGGACGAGGACCAGGGCGCGGGGGTGCGGGACGCAGGAATGTGGAGGCGATCGCCGTATGGCGGACCTGGTGGGGAGGATGGATTGAGGTGTGGCAAGAGGGCGCCGGGCGAGCGCGAGACAATATCGGCCGCCTCCGCAGCATCGAGGGCATCGATGAGCTCGTTCGCAGCCTCGATGAACTGCGGGGCAATGTCCAAGTACCTGTTGAGTTGTTCGAGCCGGTCGGCTACGTCTGACATGCTCTTGACCACCGCTGAAGTATCCTGCGGACTGTCAGAGAAGCCTTTGCAGCCATGCGGAGCGAAGCGCACCATATTATGCCAAGGACTATCGTCTCCTTCAGCAATGCGGTCGGTCGCCGTCTCGCCCTTTATTGGTCAGGTCGAGGTAACGGTTATAAGTGTGCTGCCACACCTGCTCCATGCTTCCACTGCAGTTCGTCGGGTCTCCGCTGCTGTCCCGCCTACGATCTTGGAAGCTCGAAAACCAGGTCGACTCGATCGTAGCGCTCATGGACTCGTAGAGCGCCCTATCTGGCGCCTCTGCGGACCAGTACCGGAGAGCGGTGATGACGTCCCAGTCCTCATCCACGAGTCGGCGCTGCTCCTCCTTCCAGCTGATGCTGTACCCCGGATTTAAAACCAAACGACAGTTTACATATCGCTGATTACAATCTGGACGTAAGGTCTACGAGGCCGGCAAAAGCCGTTGAGCCGGCTGTCTTAGGGCGTGGCTCGGCTCGGTAGGCCTCTGGCTGGTGCTGGGGGATGCTGGCGCGGTCCGCGTGGCGCGGCTGCGGGCCTCTGGCTCACCTCGGATGGCCGTGCTCGCAATCCGGCTCGGGAAATTCCATTTCGCAGCCATTTCCGGTGCGCGCGCTTTCGTGCCGTTGTGCACGTGGGTCCTACCAAAAAGGGAAACAAAAGGAGATTCTGGCACAATGAATAGGTAGTATGTAGGTCAACAGTAGCAGCGGGTGTCATTGATTAGGATAGGAAGAATGTAAATGAGCAGGGATGAGCAAGGAGGCATCAAGAGACATGAGAACAAATGAAAAATATACATATTAGCTCAGCAAGGCAGTAGCGGCACGAAAGAAAAGACGCGCTATAGCATCTATACAAGATAACGTGCGCACGACAGTGGTGGCATGCGATACGGGGGCATTACCCGTCGCGCTACTTGGTCTTCCTACGCTTTGAGGCTCGCCCCTCGCTTTCAGACTCGCTTCAAGGACATCAGTGCACAAATCTAGGCAAAAAGCGCATCTGGCATACCTGAGCTGCTTCAGAACCCCGTCTAGAGCCCATTGAATATCCTCTACGAGCTCTAGCCAGCTACGACTTCCTCCTGGGTTTCCCTCCAAGTCGAACCACCACTTCACCCCCTTCAGCACGCTCAGATGGCCGTTGAGACCTGGGTAGTGGAGGCACAGCCAGTCGCCGGCGGTGCCGCGTCCCTTGCCGACCTTGCCATCTGTGTTGCGCTGGCGCCACTGCGGGTTCAGCGAAGACCACCAGCGCCAAATCGAGGCCTTCCAGTCGTCGAGGAAGTCTTCGGGGGGCGTATTCGCGGGAACCTGGGGCGCGAACGTTGTCATGCGCGCGCGCTTGATCCACTCCCCAATCTCCTTGGGACGGCAGCCATTCGCGGGAACTCGCTTGTCCTGGACCGCGAGTCAGCAAGAAAAGCAGCACCTAACCAAGTGAGTACACATACCTTCTTGAACTCATCATGCTTCTCCAGCACCCACCACGTCGCTACGACCGTCCTCCACGCCTTGTCGGCCTCGGAATTGGTTGCAACGTCGTCCAAAGCGAGATTGTCCACCCCGAGAGACACCCAGTCCAGCCACCCCGCGCGCGACACCGAAAAGATGTTCCCGGGCCGCTCGTCGTCCAAGCCGCGCCTATGCTTCCCGCCCCCTTCGCGCGTCGTGCCCGGGGTAGCGTTAGCGACGGCGGCACCCTGCACGATGTTGCCCGCGCCACCACCCTCCTTATCCTGAGCGAGAGGGGTAGGTACCTTCCTCCCGCGCGCTCGGACTGCACCTCTGCCTTTCGACGCCTTGGCACGCCGCGGGTTGTCGATTCCTGGCTGCTCGTCGAGACGCGCATCTGCCGGCGTGAGCGCGCTGTCCTTGAGCCCCTGCTGTGCTCCGGGCGAATCCTCTTCGCCCTGCAATGTGACGGAGTTCCCGACGAGGTTGTTGTCCTCGGCGCCGCCGTTGGTAGGGGTGAGGTTGACGCTCTCTCGAAGATTGTCAGCCTCGTTGTTGTTGGACGCGCTGAGCCGGTGGTCGCGAGAGGCGCCCTGTTCAATGGGGGCGAGGTCGCCGCAGCCATCGACACTTTGGAGGTCACCTGCGGACCCCTGTTCTTCGCCGTTGTCGGCCGGGGTATCGCGGTCGACTGCTCGTTGAGAGGGCGTATCCACGTCTGCCTCCGAGGGTACGGGAGGCTGCGCGAAGGGGCGCGACAAAGGCTCGTCAGCACCCACAGCTCCACGCTCGGCACCCGCAGGCGATGCGCTGCGCGCATGCCCAGTGTCTCCGCCCCCTTCGTGCACCTGAGAGGCGACGATCTTCTGGGGCACGACATCTCCCCAGAGAGGGTCAGCCTCGGTCAGGAGACCCTCCTTGAGGAGCGAAGCACGGATCGTGCACTCGTTTCTCGATATCGTGTCCTGGCGGTTCAATTCGTAGTCGCTCATCCGATCCATTTCGTTCAGCAACGAGGTACGCCGCCCCGGCGCCATACGTGACAGGCGCTCGCGCAGGTATGCCGAGAACTCGCGACCCTTCACGTCACGCAGGGGAACGCCGTACTCGTCGACTGGGATGTGCTCCTTCTCGCGGTGTGCCCGAGCTCGGCTTTGACGCGCCCCCTCGAAAGCTCGCGCTGCGAGTGCTTCTCCACGCCCATCCTCCTCGGGGCCTGACCCTTCCCCGTCGTCAAGGTTCTCGTCCATGGACGACTCGGCCGTCTCGTCACCAGAGAGCTCGTGAGCATCAATGCCACCTCGCCGATGCCTACGACGGCGGCCCTGTCGCGGACGACGCTTAGCACCGCTGGCATCGTCCTCCGCAGCGGCGGGCACACCGGCGACCTGCACCAGACGGCGCCTAGCCTCATCCTCGGCCCTCGGCTCCTTCTGTTGAGAATGCGACCCCGCTGCCTGCCGCTCGCGTTCTTCCTGTTCGCGTTGCAGAGCGGCCGATCTTTCTAATGATCAGTGAGTATGGAATACGAGGTTTGACAGCGTAGTTTGCTCACCCGTAGTGTGCACGACGAAGCGCAGGAACCACCTCAGGTAAAGGTCGCTATACTTGTCGGGCTCGAAGTCGGGAAGCTTGAGGGAGCCCTCGCTTGCGATTGTTCGCCCCACGTCGACACTGAGCATCATCAGTGTATGCACGATGGTTAGTATGAGGTGACGCACGAGATACACTCAAATTTATCGAACTCATCCTGCGGCGGCCGCGCGAGCATGATCGTCCCAACATTGAGCTTGCATAGTCGACATAACTCTTCGAGCAGCGGCTCGATGAGTTTGGAGATGTTCTCGCGACACCTAGGCGGTATGAGTATAAGAATGAGCGATGAAAGAGGGGCACGTACAGCTCCGCGCTTTCCTCTGTGATCTCGTCTTCGTCCCAAACGCTATTGCGCAGTGCGAGACGCCGCTCGTAGTCCTCCTTCACCAAGCTGCGGACGTGCTTTTTCACCTCCTCGTCCTGCTCCTCGTAGATTTCCTGCGCGATTTGGACGCGCTGCGTGAGCTCCTGCTCCGATGAAAGGTCCGCTTTGGCCCAGCGCTCCTCGAATATCGGCAGGAAGACGTCGCGGTACTCGGGCTGCTTCATCCACATCTTGTGCTCGGGTACGTGGGCGGGCTTTGTAGCAGCCAGATTTTTGAGGCTCTGCGCGAGGAAGGTCCGGAAGGGATTCTTCGTGACGGCGTTCGCTTTCGTCACTTGATTCTTGAGCCATGAGTTGATTTGCTGTACGATAATCTCAACGAGAGAGCACGTTAATCGGTGAGAGTACGCACCGGCCCTGCCTCAGCCCTCGCGTCGTCCTTAGCCGCGTTCATGATGCGCGCGCATTCCTCCTCCGACGCGCCCTCTGGAATGATGGGAGGGTCGTTGAAGTGATATGGGTACTCGTCGAGATAGGCGTCCACAGTTTCCTCCACAACGATCTTCTTCTCCTTTCGTGGCGCCTTCACATACTTGTCCTTGTGGGAGACGAGAATGTCCTTGCGCCGGTCGAACCAGATGCCAGGGTTTCCGCGCGTCGTCTGCTTGCGAGCAGTGGGCTCCTTCCTCAAGCGTCCCATGGGCGAGAAGATAATGAGTGGTGATATGCGAAAGAAGAAGCGGGTAAGCCAGTATTCAGTGAAGAGCGCAGGTCGCAAGTTGAACTCGAACAACAGAAAAGCGACGCGTCTGTCACACGTGTGACAGTACGCGTCGAGCTCCAAATTTGCACGTCCGACGACTATTCCATATATTCAGGCTGAGAAACACGGATGACCATTGCATACATTCATACACAAGCAAAGCAAAGAACATACAAACTATTTTACACGAAGCAGGGCAGCAAGCTCATCCTCGTCCTCGGCGACCTTGAGCTCGGCCTCCAAGCCCTGTGACTCCGCCTCTGCGAGCCATGTTTGAGCCACCGCCCTGAATAGAGTCGGTCAGATTCGTAAAGACGCAACTTCAAGCTATGAACGTACAGGCTGGCCGTGGTGCGCTTCATGCCGTTACCTTGGCAAACAACCCACCACCTGGCAGGCATGCGGGGAGGGGAGGCTGCCACGGACAGGCCGTGGCGGCTGAGGGCGTCGGTCAAGGAAGCAACGGATGGTGATGGGGCAATCGATGACGGCGTCGAGGGCATCGAAGGCGGGGCGACTATGGACGAAGGCGAGGCGCGCTTCTTGCGAGGTGAGGATGACCGCGCTCGAGGGGCGCCGACGGTCGCGGAGGCCGTTGTCGAGAAAGCCACCCCCTTCGCCTTCGCGGAGAAGATGGCCTCGATTGATTTCGGGGTCGGGGCCTTGGACGCTGTGCTGGGCTTGGAAGGGGAGGGCCTCCGAGCGGGCGTCGCAGATGCGCGAGCACTGACGTACAGCGCCTCGTCTTCGTCCGAGCTGATGTCGATACTAGGTAGGGGAGAGCTCGCGACGGGCTCTGACCTCTTGACGGGCGATCGGCTCGTGCGCGTGGATTTGACAGGAGATGGCGGCGCCGCATGATGTGCCCTGGTCGGGCGGTTCGAGGAAGGCGGAGGGGGTGGAGGAGCGAGGGGGACGTCCTGCCAGATGTCGGGCGATGACCCTCGAGTCGCAACCCGATACGCGCCGCCAAGGGCAGCGGGAGTCGCCCGCGCCGACTGCGCCAACTGAGGGGGGCGCGGTTGTGCTGCCTGCTCGCGCATAAGAGCTTCGCTGATCTTCTCCAGCCCGTTCCGTAGACGCTCGAGGATTCGCTCGAGGGCTTGCTCATCCACGTGGACGAAGCCGCAGTCACCGGCCTTGTTGACGAGGATGCGCCACGTACACCACCCGTGTATGGTGCCGTCGATCGCGTTGGGTAGAGGGGGAGAGAGATGCTGATGGTTGTTCTCGCAGTTGATCTCCCACATGTAGAATCCATGGGCGATTGTACTGCAGGTGTACGCGTACTTGGGCGCTCGGCCGCTGTGCTCCCGTAAGTAAGAAAAAAGGATGTTTGGATTGATCACGCACGAATCCGTATAGATCCCAGCCTTGGGGCCGTCGTAGAGAATGTAGACCTCGAGCGTGGCCCTCGCACCTGGCGACGAAGAGATATGGAGCGGCGCGAGGCAGCGGTATCTACTCGCCATGGTGGGGGAAGACAAGGAGGCCACGGGGCCTCAGTCTCCCACGCCTCGGGCTATCTCTGAGGTTCAGACCCTAAAGCATCACCCTGCAGTTCCCAGGCTTCGGAGGCACGGCAAACTTATCTATCATATCACATATATACCATGGTCAGTACGTAGCCTACATATCTTCGTCCCCTTCAATGTGGTCATCTTCGCCGTCTTCGTCCTCTCCAAATTCAACGTCATTGTGTGGTTCGAAAGCGCGTCGGAGCAGCCAGTCTTCTCGATCCTCGAGAAGATAGCCGTGCGGAATTCCTTCACGCTCATTGGTACTGAGTCTAGAGATGAACTTGGTACGAAAAGCGTCAACCCCAAACTTGAGGAGGTAGGTCCTATGCGTCGTCAGCAACAGGGCGAGATGGAATGGAAGGAATACATACTTGCGATAGAGGTTGAGGCGCCGCACGCGAAGCTCGTCCGCATGTAGAGTGCGATACGCCGTAACCGCACGGTGGTGCTCTCTTCGAGCAGCTGGGTCTTGCTGATATCTCGCTCTCGCGCGCTCGCGGGCCTTCTCCCGCAGACGCTCTTTGTTGCTAGTGCGATATTCAGTCGTACGGACGCATAGCACAACTGCAGACGCACCGCTCATAGTACGCCTTTTTAGAAGCGCGCCTACGCTCTGGGTCTCGCTTCTCCGCCGGCCGCGCCATGGTACAGAGGGTAAGGTGCAAGTAAAGCAACGCCGTGCGGTACTTCATGTGGCGCCAATGTGGCGTCTACGTCGAGCTTTGGGACCGCAACCGTGTGACTTCGGGACCGTAGTCCTGTGCTTTGGGACCGCACGATTATGTGGCGTTCTCTTCGACCCTTCTATTCACCGTGTTGCGAGCCTCAAGGACACAAAAAAAAGACATAGAATGCAAAGGTGATGCCCTATCAACACATTTCTTGCATTTTCAGGGATATAGGCAAGTGGAATACTCACTTGGACGCTCGCAGATTACCAGCGAGAGGCACATTGATCCCACCGTACTCTTAAATCTCCATCAACTTTCTGCACCACATCACGGCTCGGTCATGCTAGATAAACTCCCTGCATGCGCTGGGCATCCTTGGCAGCACTCAGATGGGCAGTGGGCAGCTCGTTGGCTATAGGATCACTCCAGTTTGGTTCTAGCTTGAAAGGATTTTTTTGGTACAAGAAATACAGTCCAAAGCTACCTCAACTACTGAGTATCGCTACGAGCGCTCAATGTACGTACAGCCTCCCTCGCCGTTGATTGGAGATCGCCCACCTTAGACCAAAGCTCGACGCCCTCTCGCCAGCGCCGCGAGTTAGCCTCCTTCGCCTTTCGCAGGCCTGCCCTCGACAAGGAGGAGTAGTACCTCTCGTCGAGCCTGCACCCGTGCTGCACCCAACGAAATATCGCCCCGGCAGTGTACTGTGTGACGCTGTACCGTGTTTCGTGGTCGGCGATCGTCGTATTCGAATGGTTGATGATGGCGGAGGGGATGAGGATAGTTGAGCCGGGGGGGAAGCGGATGACGAGCCCACATTCCCAAAGAACGAGGTGACCCCCGCGGTTGGGATCGAAGCGGCCGAGGGCGGTGATGGCGCACCATCCAAATGGAAGGTTACCGAAGTCGCGATGTTTGTAGCAGATTGTACGTGGGCCGAAATTGATGGTTATGCAGGCCCACACGCTGCGGGCGAAGTTTTGTCGTAAGTCGGGGTCGTTGTCGAAGAGCTTGCGCATGTGGTCGGCGTAGAACGTCCATAGAGCGGGCGCCCAGTTGAAGAAAACGGCTAAAGGGCGTCAGTGGGCGAGGGGGAGGGGCGCGGTGGGGGCTTACAGGAGGCAAAGTGGGCGATACGTATCATTGCAGCCAGGCCGACAAGGTAGGATAACACGGCCGTCATTCCCGGCGTGTGCTTGAGTATACCAGGGGCCTCTAATAGCATCAGCAAGCGAGGGAGAGGCTTCGGTGAGGCACACTCACAGTCTGACCGCCGCCGTGAGATGCGCCGTACGCCTCGGCGCCAAACTGGCCACGACGATGGTCCTGCGACTCCTTGGGGAACTTGACGCGCTCGCCGCTCTTCGCGATCTCGTCTGCGAGGGATTCGTGGACGTTAGTCCAGTCCGAGTCGTCTGGATGGCCTGCGAGGACGCCGAAGACGCGCCCATCTGGCGTCGTTAGGCCGGCGGTCTCCCTGGGGGTTCTGTGAGAGGGTGGAGGGAGGGCTGTCGATCGATACGCACCTGCCATCCCAGTCGATGAGCTTGAAGCCAGGGACCTTCGCCTTGGGCCCAATGAAGTCGTCGAGCGCATAGAGCTTCTGCTCGCCGTCCTCGCGCTTTGCCGTGAACCCGGTGCTGGTGACGGGTTGCGCATCCCAATCAAGGGTGACTTCTTCGAACGTCGCGCTCGCGAGGTGGCGCGATTTGCGAAGCAGGCGAGCTGGCGGCGGCGCCCAGTTGCCCTCAGCATCGCGGCGTTGTGCCTTGCGCTGCCGACTTTTGCGGGAGTTCTTCTTCTTAGAAGGCTTGTGCCCGGTGGCGGCGGGTGTCGCGTCGGTGGCTGGCGAGGGCGCGCGATCGGATGGCGGAGAGGGGTCGCGAGCACGCTTGACGGAGGGTGGCGCGGGTGATGTTGCCCGGGAGGGTGAGCGTGAGGGCGGTGCGGAGGATAGGGGAGAGGAGGTGGGGCTGGGTGCGCGATCGCCTTGCCAGTTGTCGGCGGCTTCGGCCCCCACGAGTTCCTCCTCATCCTGTTCCGCGTTCTCCTGGTAGTAGCGCTCCAATAGACCGTCGACGTCGAACTCGGGGTTATTGACCGTGTAGTAGTTGCTGAAGGATGCGCCGGACCGTGTAGTCCTCAGCGAGACGTGATCTGAGGCCTGTGTGAGCTTGATACGCGGGGGCGAGGTGGGGTGATCGCTCGGGCAGAGGCACAAGGCTCAATAGCGCGCTCATCCCCCGAAGACGTGAGCGCCACACACGCTTCCAGTACCTCACTGTGAGCATAGGTGGTAAAGGCGTGGTGTGTGGCGCGCATTTCGACGGGCGCGAGGGCTGAAAGAGCAAGGGCGCCTACCCTCGGAGATCACCCCTACGTCGCGAACGGACGGCGTACCTTGTAGCAGAGAATCCACCCATCTCATGTTCGACATGTCGAGTGGTCGAGTGGCGGCGTGCAAGTGAGAAGCGGTGAGTGAGGGGGCGCGAGGGCGCGAGTTTTAAGGCGAGGGTCACGAGGGTCACAGTCAACGCGTCAAACCAAGACGCGTCAACGAGACGCGACAGGTCACATTGATCACAAGTTGTCCGATCACATCCCCGGCTGCATTGTTTGTTTCCCCGCGCTCTGCATCGTTCGTTCCCCCCGCGCTATGTCTACAAAGAAGACCAGCAACATACGATCGTTCCCCCTTTCATTCCTGACAAAGCCCCCTCCAACCGTCACAACACTCTCCGAGCAACTCTCATCCGATCGCCGACGTCGCGTACAAAAGAAATCCCGGATTGAGGCCCCCTCGCCTCGCAAGAGGGCTGCCACTTCGCGCGACTCCGATGAAGAAGACACATCGGCCGAGATCAACGCGGAGTCGGAATACGTCGACGTAGATCTCGCAGGCGCCCCTCTAGAGAAAGGCCCCCATGGTGCAGGGAGGGTCGGTGGGCGCAAACGTACCAAGAAATTCTACCCTTCGGTGCGTTGCGCGAGACCTTCCCCCCTTCTATCTTACTGATATGTCTCAGGACGAACCGCTCCGCGAGTTCATGACCGCAGCCGCGGATGACTACGCGCGGATCCTCCTGCGCAATGAAGGCAGAGGAAGCGAGGCTGACCGCAAATGTCCCGGGTGCAAACCCGGAGAGGAAGGCACGCCCGAGTACCGCTGCACTACTTGTGTAGGCGGCGGGCTGTACTGTCGCGGCTGCTGCCTAGCTGATCACCAGCGAAGACCATTCTGTCGTATCGAGGTGAGACCCGCTACTTGCTATCACCGTGCATGGGCTCATGTGCTCTTTCAGAAGTGGAATGGTCGCTTCTTCGAGAAGACGACACTTCAGCAACTTGGGCTCCGCCTTCAGCTTGGTCACCCAGAAGGCGAGCCGTGCCGTATGCCCCAGCCTGCTCACGCGGACTTCACGGTCGTACACGTCAACGGCCTTCACGTCGTTGGCGTCGACTTTTGCGGCTGCCGACCCTCCAGCCTTGCTGTGCCTCATCGCGAGCAACTTCTCTGCGCCGGCCTGCTCCCCGCCACGATCCGTGACCCACAAACCGCCTGCACCTTCGAGGCCTTGAACCAGTTTCAACTCATCACATTCCAAGGGAAGCTCACGGCGTACGACTACTACACAAGCCTCGAGCGCATGACGGATAACTCAGGGACCGAGGGTTACAAGGTAGGAGGGCTCTTTGACGTTGGGATTGGCTCGAACTGACGGATGGGTAGAATCGTTACCGGTCCTTCTTGCGCTGCGTACGTATATGGCGCTACCTCAAGCTCCTCAAGAGGTCGGGCCGCGCGAACGATCAGGAGCGGCCTCCGAGTGACGTGCGCCCAGGTGAACTGGCGCTCGCCTGCCCCGCATGCCCGCGCCCTGGCGTGAACCTACCGGAAGGATGGGAGAGTGTTGAGCCCGCGAAAAGGTCAGTCCTGTGACGTACAGTCAGTTTTATGAACAAGATGCGAGTGAGCCATAGATTCCTATACGTTCTCTTCATCGCCTTGGACGCGTGCTTTCGCCTCAAAAGACGAAAAATATCCTCGCGTGAACGCGACCCGTCCCTTGCCAACGGTGGCTCCTACATGGTCGAAAGCGGCCCGTTCGAGGAGTACATCAAGGCGGCGGAAGAGCAGACCGAGGTACGACATAGCGTGTAATCCCGGTGTTCTTTACTGATCTTCCCATGATCTGTATAGGTCAGCACATGCACTGGTCTGTCGGCAGTAGATCACGCGAATACGAAGTTCTCGAAAGGGTATGCGGAGACCGGGAAGGCGCTTGGCCTCTGTGCCCGCCATGAGTTCATCCAGAGGAACGGCGTCGTCCCCACGCAGGTCGGCGAGAGGTACGTACTTCCTTTGGGGTGCCGTAGGTTGCGCTCACACGACGTCTAGATATGCAAATACTGACTATGCTCTCGGCTCCCTCCTTCGCCACCACTCCCCCGCGCTGCACTTGCTCTTGTCTTATGATATCTGCTGTCAATATTCGAAGAAGTTCGAGGAGCGCATCAAGAAGCTACCCTCGCTCATCCGCTTCAAGCTCGCATACGCCTTCGTGCGTTTCGTCATCCCGAAGCTCCATATACATGGCCACAAACTCGACTGTCAGCTTCTTTTCAACCTTAACTGGACTTGGGGTGTTGGAAGGACGGATGGTGAAGGCGTAGAGCGCCCTTGGGGGTTCCTCGGCCCTCTTGGGATGAGCCTCCGCCAGATGGGGCCTGGCAGCGCAGCCGACACCATTGACGATCACTTCGGCCACTGGAATTGGCTGAAGTTGATAGGTCTTGGCGCTCTGCTTCGACGGCGCTTGGTGGACGCGCTCGCAGAGCTCGCTGCGCAGGAGAGCGAGCTTGCGGAGTTCGCCAAAGGGCAGGCTGCGCACACCAAGGCGTGGGAGGCGGAGGTAGAGGCCTTCGAGCACGACAAGTCGAGGCCGAACCCGTTCGAGCTGCCAAAGTCTGGTAGGCGTCCTGCTTTCCTTTTCAATTTCCTTGTTTTCTGACCGTCTTCCACAGGCGCCTCCGAGAACGACGTCGCTCTTGAACTCGCGAACGAAGAGGCTGAACAAGCAAGGCGCGGCCTTGAATTCCGCCACGATATGACCCCGAGCGGCTTCATCTTAGCGTTGCTCGACGTCGAGAACGACCAGTAGGTTGTCTCGTTGCATTACGCGCTCTTCATCTAACGTCAGTTTCAGGCGAAATCTCATCCACGATATCTCAGCAAAGCACTTCGAGAACACGACCAAGCAAGCAGAGCTTGCTCGCCGGCGCGTCAAGTTGATGCGGTCCATCACCAAGATCCACGAAGTCCAAGCCGTCTATACCCCGCCCTCCCTCGTGCGGCACGCGAGCTGGCAAGCTGCCGATACCAACGCCGAACTCCCCGCCGAACAGATTCCGCTATTCCCGCCGTCCTCCCTTACAACTTCGGAGCAGGCGACCTGCATCTCGGGTGTCGTCGCTACTGAACGCCGCCTGCGAAACGCGCAATGCCGGACCTCCCTTGACGATCTACGCAACCTCCTTATCGTGAAGTCGCGCCTGCTCACCTACAAGAACGTCAACACGCGGAATCAAGGCCCTTCGACGCGCGCACGAGAGACGCTGAAAAAGAACGACGAGAAGATCCTGCGTCACGCAGCTGATGCTGTGCGGCAATATACAATATGACCTGGAGATCTCCCACGAGCACTTTGCAATATGCACGGGAGACCTCCGGGGGAATTAACCGGTAAGTCGCCGGCCCCTCTCGCGCTTGCGGACCGGTGCGGCTCGTAGGGCAGTGCTCGCCGGCTCGGGCTTGACTGGGATGCGAGCGGGGTGCGGCTCGCAAACGCGCGGAGCGCGGCCTGCAGGGCCACGTGCCGTCGCGCGTCCGGCTACTGACCTGACGCGTACCTGTCGCGTGCTGTAGCGACGCGTTGTCATCATCGTTAGGGTTAGGGTTAGGGTTAGGGTTAGGGTTAGGGTTAGGGTTAGGGTTAGGGTTAGGGTTAGGGTTAGGGTTAGGGTTAGGGTTAGGGTTAGGGTTAGGGTTAGGGTTAGGGTTAGGGTTAGGGTTAGGGTTAGGGTTAGGGTTAGGGTTAGGGTTAGG